TGGACAAGCATTGCGAGTATAGGACGGAACGAGTATCGCATTCCGCAACACCCGCCAATCCATCCCCTCTCCCTTCCTCCCACTATGCCGCTTAGTTCCGGAAAGTTCAAATAGTTGTATCATTGCGCCTTAAGAATGTGACGGAAGATTTAAATGGAAATAGGCTCCATGCACGCTGGGCTTGTCGATTTCCTTTGACATTTTTGCAGTGATGAATGCATAGCAGAAGTGCGCTCCAGCTAGAATTGTATTTAGCATGTGAGTGGTTTTTATACGAGGATTAAAAATAAACATGTGGTTCGGAATAAAAGTAATGAATATGAACTATGCAAAACGATAATCCGGGTATCGGAACTTGGCTGATTTGAAAACGCCTTCAAATGCGGCGTGATACCTCACGCATTCCGGAGAGCTCAAATAGTTGTATCATTGCGCCGTAAGAATATGACGGAAGATTAAAATGGAAATAGGCTCCATGCACGCTGGGCTTGTCGATTTCCTTTGACATTTTTGCAGTCATCAATGCATAGCTTAAGTGCGCTTCAGCTAGAATTGAATGGCGCTTAGTTCCGTTTGACAGAAATATGTCCTTTTGAGGGAACACATCATGGTTTAATCAGTCCGGGCTCTTTTCCGATCTAATACTGGCCGAAACATGGGTCTGGAGGTAGATTTTGACGAAAAGTGCGGATTTTTCGACATTCGACCGCAAACTCGCTGAACTCGCATCTATCACCAAAATCACCCTTCAGGCCCATGTTTAAGCCAGTATTAGACCCGAAAAAAGACGTAAAATGACCCAATCATGATGCACTCCATAAAATATATACCTTCGTCGAGCAAAAACTCGTGGAGTTGAGAAAATTCAGGGTGGGCCCAAAATTGGCCCACATCGATACCCCACCTTTCTCATCAATCATCGTCTGGCGAAAAGTAGTCGACCTCCGGGTTTAACTTTTGCCTCGCTTGAGTGCATTATGTTTACATTTGGGACCGGGGTTTTTAAATTTTAAGCACGGCCAGTGGCGGATCCAGCAAATTGGCAACATTGTTTTTCTCCATTTAAACCAATGGGAATGTATCGATTCTTGGAGGGGCCAGGTGATCCGACGGGGATCGATTATTTAACATAGGTTTAAATGTAGGAAATCCGGTGTTGCCAAATGTCTGGATCCGCCTCTGAGCACGGCTGCCCTTTCGATGAGACTTCCACTAGGAGACCACATGTCCTTCAGCTTATCACATGTTGGGGAGTGAGATGCAAGCATTATTGAAACCTTCATGACGAGGAGGCGGTTTGGTATTAGTCGCAGCAAGTGCCCCAGATCAAGATGCAAGATGAAGAGGTGAAATAAATCAACACACTTCGACTGCAGCATACCTATTGTTATGTTTGCAGTTGAGAGCCGACTTCGAGAGGCATGGATAGCATCGCCCGTCAAACAACACCGTCATTCATCACCGGGATTTGATCCGAGCAGGAGAAAAGTCATATTTGCAGTTAGGATAGCATGATAGATGGCACACGCTGTCCCAGAATTTTAACACCAGGGACAGCCACTAAAAGAAGGTGCATCCTTTGCAATGAGACCAGCGGGCTGATTATTGAAATTGATAGACAAAGTAATCGACAAAGAAGACAAAACAGATATAGAGGGATCCTATTGGTGGAAGCGGGTGGTTGCATTGGACAAAGGACGTAGGTAATAGACTAAGTAAGGGCAACACACGAGAGACCCGATAGTTAGTCCATCATCTACCCCCTTAGTCTATAGGAATCACTCGTTTCAACCAATAGGATCGCTCTTTACTCCTTATGTATTCTTTGTCTATAGCTTTGTCTATCAATTTCAATGAACAGCTCGCAAAGCACTCGTTTTAAATAAATCAGGACGTGGGAAAACCGCTAATGTCCATTTTCCCAGTCCTCATTTTTTTGAGTTGATAGTACTTTTCGGGGTTGGTTGCAACCACGAAAGTGGCGTTAATACTCGGCTCCGGGTTACTTTAATCCCAAAACGAGTCTTTTCATCGCTTTTATGGTTGTATCAACTCTTTAAACCCTGCGGTAAAAATTGACAGTAGAATCTGTGTTCCAAAATACGATAGACCTGCAGCCGGCTGTAAGATTTCCAAAAGCTTCTATAGCCGGCAACACAATTTCTTATAGCCTTTTATAGCCTATGGCGATTAAGCAACAGCCTGGCCATAAAGTGCATGCTAAACGTTACTTATTACGGATGCTAGGACTTAGTGAGTTTTTGGACTATCGCTCTCTTTGTGGGCCGAAGTATCTTGATTTACTTTGCGAGGAAAGCTCCGTACTTTTGAAGGATGCCTGCCATTCCTAATATATTGGAGCGCCTTCAATTTCGTATGATACTGTGCAATACTTCTGGTGTGAAATAGTTGCTTCAAGCGCCGCGGTACGCTGCGGCGCTGCGCGGCAGGCGGGCAGCCAGCGCTGAACGCGCATTGGCGCCTACAAACCTAACAGGGATACTTCACGCATTGCGCAATGCGTGTAGTATCCCTGTTAGGTTTGTAGGCGTCAGTGCGCCGCCGCTCCGCTTTGTGTTAGGCTCTAATATTTAATCTCAAGGACTCAGCGGTTTTCAACTCAAGAAAATGAAATGTTTGACGTTTGAAATGTTTGCACACTCTGTATGGATTATTCTCATTTTAATTGATGAAAAAAAAATATGTAGTAAAGGAAAATATAATGTGCGTTTTGTAAATATTAAGGCGATTCCGTGCAAACTTAAGGATTTACAAAGCACAAGAATTTCTACACAATTTCTTATAGCCTTTTATAGCCGATGGCGAAAAAGCAACAGCCAGGCGATAAAGTGTAAAGCTCGGCGATAGGAACTATAGCCCGGCTGAATAATTTTTTATCGCTTCGTGTAGCCCGGCCGTATGATTTTTTCCACTTTCTACAGCCAGCTATATGATTTTCTATCGCCCTCTTCAGTTGGCTATAAGAGCTCTTATGGTATTTTGAAACGGAGCTACTATCGCCAATTTTTACCAGGGAAAGTATTATCAACTCAAAAAAACCGAAGACGGGAAAAATTGACATTAGCGGTTTTCGCACGTCCCGATTCAAATGCAATCCAGTCTTTGGTCATAACAGTTGATACTTAATCCCTGGAACATATTAAAGTGCGCTCCAAAATATGCCTTAGTTTAGTGAAATTTAAATTAATTTGCTCAGCAAGGTTCATGCTGTCCATCATCGAAAACTCGAGCTTACACAGCGTTTTTGCCTCCATGCATCCGAGGGGTTCTCACCTCTAAAATAAAATCCCCGGAGTGCATTTTTTGGAAGATTGAGAACATGAATAAAAAAAAGACAACAAAATTTATTGAGTTAAAATTTCAAACTAGTGGTATTGTCGTGACATGGCAAACAGCACGCAACTCCGTTGAAGGAAAGTTTATGGAAATTGAATAGGTAAATCTCCGAATTCTTAGGAATTCTCAATTAAAGTAAAAATACTATATCCAAAGCCAAAAATCGAAATGCGTTTCTCGAGCACCTCAAAAATAAATCGACTTTTAAGTTTTTATTTAAAAAAAAAAAAGAAATCAGGAAATCGGTGGGATTTCCATAGTGTTCAGCAACAAAAATTATTGCTAACAAAAATCCAATTGTATCGTTGGGAAAGGTGTTTCTTTTATCTTTCTAATAGTCTGCAGGATTTTGAACTCATAGCAAGCCGCATACAGATGGAATACTGCAGTCTTGTCAATGCATTTTCCGCCAACTTGGACGGCCGGTTCCTTTGAATTTATCTCAGCTATTGTTGAAGCTAGGATAAAAAAAAAAAAAAAAAAAAAAAAAAAAAAAAAAAAAAAAAACTCGTGCATCATTAGAAAGAACACATTCGCAGCTTTCTATTGGTTCATTTAATTTTAATAATGTTTGAATTTTGAGCAATTCAACGCCGGTAAATAAGGATTTTTCGGAGTCACGTCAAGAACACGAAGAAATACAGGTGGCTCCAGTAAGAGTCAATTCCTCGCCGCGCGCCCAGGTGCATCAGAAAAAAAAAAAAAAAACAGCATATCGTTAATAAGCTGAAATTTTCAGCTTCTGCATGCTACCTTGGTTTTTTCGTAACGTTAAAATATATCGAGTGAAAAATACGAATCTCTACTGAAGACGAAACCTTGTATTTTGGTTACTCTCTTTTATGTGGTGGCATCTCATATTTTTTCCCGTCATTTGGGGGGGGGGGGACTTTTGTCACTCCAAACTTTACCTGAGAGTCTTGTGTCCCATACAAAACATTATGACTTACACTCATGTCAGAGAAAAGTCATGGTTGCCAGATTTGGCAGAAATCGATCTATTAGGAAAGAAACGTCAATGGTTTCTGCAAAACTTGCTCCACTGGAAAGTTTTAAAATTGCACATACTTATGTTAGGTAGAAATATACGTCCAAATCAGAGATAGAAAGTGAAATTTCACGTTTTGAAATTAGGTGTATTAAATTTTACGTGAAATGCCATGAAAGTTCAAAAGGTTCAACAAATTTAACGAAATTTGAAATGTATTAATTTTTTTCGAAATTATTCATTGAGCCTTTAGAGATCCGGAAGCGTTTCAAATGGTTTTCCTGTTGATTTATTATGCTAGCCTCCTGAAGTGCTTTACACGAAAAGGGGACACAAAGGGGAGTTTAGAAAGAAAAGCCCCAACCTAACTTCGAAACCAAACGAGAGCATTTGCAACGTGTCAATTTTGTAAGCTTGGGGTGAAACATTTTAAAATCTAGAAGCACTGTTTCTAGGCGTTTCTTGGCCTCCTGAATTCATCCCCCGGAATTTCCTGTGAACTTTCACGCGGATAAATTTCATGTTTTCCATCTCTCCTATCCAAATGACACTCATGAGAAGATCAGATTGTGAGCGAAGAAATTCGAATTCCGCGCCTTTTCCCGGCCGACAGTTGCTATCGTCGGCACCCAGACAGCGCGGCCATCGCATGACAAGGCGGTTTACAGTTTTTTGAGGTTATTATTTACATCGCGTGAAACTTTCAGTATTTTTCTAGCTGCATTTAGTGAAAATCTGTGAAGAGTTTGTTTTAATCTCAAGTATTTCTTTTTTTTAATAGCAAGGTAATATTTATTTCTCGTGTTTTTATTTTAAATTCCTCAGCTTTCAGTCTTTTATCATGGATTCTCTATGACTGTCTGGCACATGATGTACTTGGCGATTGACGTCTCTCAACTTTTGCTATTAATTTTCTAAAACTTGCCGAAAAGTATCGGTTATTTTATTACCTTAAGATCCATTTCTTCTTTTACACACCATTTGTACGTAGACTTTGAATCTCTCAAGTTAGAGAAGTTCACCTCTTCAAACTTTCAGTGATGATATGCAGAAAATTTGAATGAGCCTACACTCCATTGAGAACGGTATTGTCAAAATAATCTCTGTATTTATGCTGAATAATTTTATTGAGCTAACACTCATTGTGTAGCGCTCAACATTTAAGTTTCAATGTGCAGCGTTGTTTTGGTTTATTTAATCCTTGCCTTAATGAAATCTTCATGTATTTTACAAGAACACTCATTTCCACCATCGACTCCACAGTGACAATCTGTATTGAAAATATTTGTGAAGAGGAATCAGACTCAGTATGGAATCCGTAGATACAGAGCTCCTGGAAATTTGTTAAATGAAGTTTCGTCTGCTTTCATAGCGGATCTTGAATTGAGAACATATATAACATTTTTCAATATTATTACAACATCTGAAGTACTTTTTGGGCAAATTCTCAATTCATTCTCCTAACTCCTATGTCAAGGCATATTTTAGCTACTAAATTGCTACATCAATCAAAGCAAAGCCCACTGCTTTTCGCATTTACTACAGGATCTTCTTTCGAATTGCTAACTTAAACATGTACTGCAGGTCACAGATAGAGCTCGATATTGCTGCTTTCTTTTTCAAATTCATTCCATTACCTATCGACTAATTATGTCACCTACGTTTTCAGTTTTACAGTTCCCTCATTTCCTGTACCCAAATCAGGGCCAAGTCCTAAGCTTTTTATGAATTCAATGACTACCTCAAATTTTAAGTACTCATCAGTGATATCATAACATGTTTATGGTACGGTATTATGTGGCATTTTTGTGGATTATGAAGTCCTTCACTCTATCAACAGTCATTTTCGTAGAAACTTTACAGCAAAATAGCCCTTTTTTAATACTATCTTACTTTTTTTGCTGCAGATGTTCCTCTCCCGCTCTGAGTACGATCGAGGTGTAAACACATTCTCACCAGAAGGTAGAATTTTCCAGGTGAGTAAGTACATTTGCTTTTAAGGCTGGTCCCACAGGGAGACCAAAAGAAAGAGATTCAATATTAGCCTCACAATGGTTGCTAGAAAGGTTGCAGAGTTGTTGCTATAGTGTCAGCTTATGATAACGACCAAAAAGAACATGGTGCCATTTTGTTAAGCAACATTTCTGCAAAATTTTTGGCAGCTACCGCCAAACAGGTAAAAAATGAGGTAGTGCAAGGTTTATCATTATTTTTCTTACCATAAAAATTCTCAGATGACACAAAAAGTCATGATAATTTACCCTTAGGCTAAAATATATGAAGGAAGTAGACATCCATAGAAATATCTCTGTATTGGAAAGGTTTTTATAATCTAAGAATTTCTCTTTGAGGAGGAGAGAAAGGTGATTGCTCATCAAAGGATTTATAAAGCTCAGCTAGCCAACGCTTAGCCATGTTTCCCCCAAAGCAACATAGTTTCTACCAGTACCCTTTAATTTCGCCTACTAACCAATTTGAAAGAATCAATTTTTCTAATTTTGCAATCCTAATTTATTTTTCTACTGTTCATAAAACAGATTAATGTGTCCTCTCTTTTGTAACTGAATTTGTCAAATAATTTATCTCAACATTACTTTTTTGTAAGTTCTATCAATATTTTGAGGTATCACTAAAGTGAGGTACCTGATTATTTTAAGAATAGAGGATTAATCCTTGCTTGCACTATAGGTGTTTCCAAGACGGGAGGGATGGGTCAAAAGATAAAAAAAAAAAGAATAATACACATACATTCCAAATAATTCAACGAAAAAACAAAGCAAAATTGACAATCAAAGCTAAAACTATTCTGTAAACTGCCAGGTATTTTTTATGTAGGTACATCGTTGTTTATTCTTAGCCTGATTCACCATTTTCACTTACTTGGGTACTGAAAAGGAAAGTCTTATAATGAATGGAGCTAGTAGGCGCTCACCTAGAGATTGACCCTCTTTGATCACAGAAGCTCAGAGACTGTGTTTGAGTTATTAAAAATAATTATTTTCGTTGCTATCATATGATTATTTTTTTTTGTTAATTACTCCAATTGAATTATTATTTATTTATATTTATTATGTACTACCACTACCACTTATTTATGTACTTATGTCATTGTTTTATTCAATATTTTTAGGTTGAATATGCCATTGAAGCAATTAAATTAGGATCTACAGCTATTGGCATCTGTACCTCTGAAGGTGTAGTTTTAGCAGTTGAAAAACGAATCACATCTTCTTTAATGGAACCTAATACTGTTGAAAAAATAGTTGAAGTCGACAAACATGTTGGTAAGTAAATATTTTTGGAATCTGCCTGTTTTTTCTTTTCAGTTCATTCCGTTAGTGTAAGTAAGAAATATTAAGCAATTGCTGAACAACACATCTCATTTACAATATCCAAGATTAAAGATTAATTTACAGGAAAATAAGCACACAAACCAACAAAACAAAAAGCCCCCAAAGTGTGCATAGCAAGCTTGCTGGATTTAAAATAAAATTATGGTCACAAAAAATTTAAGAAACATGAATAATGCCTGCAGTGATAATAAAAGAATGGAAAAAGAATCATAATTGATATGTAATGGAGTAACCTGAACCCATTTTGAAAGCTATAACTTTTTTCAAACATTTAGTGTTTTTTTTTTCAAAAAATTCTAGGTATGAGAGATTACATTTTTTTAATTTTTTTCAAAATGTTCAGTATATATTGCGGGTCAAATATATACATGCACTTTGAAAGTGTGACAAAGAATCAACGATCTTCCATGTAATATTGAAAGTTAATACAAGATTCAAGATTGGGATTCCTCTGTTGCACTCTAGAAGTGCATAACCTTATTTGGTGTGGACTTTACAAAGAAAAAGTATTTTTAAGTAGGTATGGAAAACCTACCTTTCTTAGTAGCCAATTATATGGTGAAAGTGGATCTTTTCAAAAATATCTGCGTAAGCCTTTCAGGTAACATTTCTCTATCCTTGAAAGTTGATGAAAACCCCTCAAGAGCTTTTAATATTTCACATTCGAGTTGCAAAGAAAATGTATCCATGTACCAAAATTATGCCCTGATTGGATTGCTAACCAGTAGTCCTTCAGAAGCAATTAGTATTTTTCAAGGATCTTCATTTTTACAGCCTATGGGCTATGGGGCCATGGTCAGCCAAGAGTTTCTCACCTTTTATTCCTCTTTATGCATCTCAGAGACAAACTGTTTCATGAGTAGAAATTTAATGAGGAAAAAACTTAAAAAATGAGATTCCAAGAAACTGATAACCCCTGTCTATGGTGAGAATACAACCTTTAGCTTTCTTTTTATTGCAGGATGTGCAGTCAGTGGATTAATAGCAGATTCCCGTACAATGATTGATAGAGCGCGTGTCGAGTGTCAGAACCACTGGTTCACCTATGATGAAAGAATGAGTGTAGAATCTGTCGCACAGGCTGTTTCTAACTTGGCCATCCAATTTGGTGACTCGGGTGATGATGGTGGTGCAATGGTAAGCTAATATTTTTTATTTCATATCATTTAGCTGTGTCCATTGTGCAGTGAAATTATTGGAACAGAATTGTACTGACTGATTAGTCCCTTCAGACTATTTTGTTGTTTTAATTTTTTTAGTTTAACTTCAGTTTAAAATGGTGAAGTTTTGGTGTTTGACTTGAAGTTTGGTGGACCGAAAAAAGAGTTTTTGGTCCCCCCCTAACGTACATTTATCAATCATCAACGAGTTCGTAGACGTAGTTTTCAAGATACTCCAAATACTATATTGGTGATTAAGTTACCAGGTATTTAAAAATGATCCTTCGGAGCTATTCCTTTTTTTCAGGTCCGTACCCTATAAAAAGAAATAATTTTTTAGAAAACATTTAAATAAATTAGCAGCCCGCAACCTGCATGGATTTTAAAATGAAAGCTTTGAGGATCGTAAATTCATTTACCACATTTAAAACATCATCAATCAAGCTTAAATTTCTCTCTTATTTTTTATGTTTCAGAGTCGACCTTTTGGTGTAGCTATCTTATTTGCTGGCTGTGATGAGAAAGGACCACAATTATTTCATATGGACCCCTCTGGTACATTTGTTCAATTCGATGCGAAAGCTATCGGATCTGGAAGCGAAGGCGCTCAACAAACTTTGCAGGAAGTGTATCACAAGGTACTGTTTTAATAGAAATGATAGAAATCGTGTCAGATAAGTTGACATTTGTGAACTCCCCATTTGCCAGCGACTATGTAGCTGCTGTCCAATACCAATTGAGAATCGATCGACAGTGACAACGCTGCTGTGTTTATGCTGTGTCCAGATACCTAAAACCTGTGCCTCTGAGGAGATATGAACTGTGCAAGACAGTTAAAAGAAAATAACTGCCGAAAGTTTTTCAGCATCTATCCTGTAATGAAACTTCTGTGATTTCAAACAGGAACTTGAGCTGAATATTTAAAACTTTATTTTCTCGAAAGCTATCCTACTTTTGATGTATTTTTTGGTCCTCTGAGTCATAATCATCATTAACTCAGGATGTGGATTGCTATTTTATGAAACAAATCGATAGTATCAATTTTCTAATTCTCTCTGGTTTTAAAGATGCCTTTTTCCTTGAGTAATGGCACCAGTAAATGTTTTGTTTCTAGAGGCTAAATGAGCTTTTTTCCTTTTGGAGGGACTTTTTTAAGTTATGAACGAATCTACTCATGTTACTGCAGCATGTCCATATTCTTGCTCTACAGCAAGTCTTCTTTCACAGCATTCTTTCTCTTAATGTGGTTTGTGTAGTGTACGCATTCAATCTTAATCTAGTACTGTAAGAGTTGATAGATATTTTGTGACAATGCGCACACTAGCAACCATCTGTCATGTCAATTTTTGTTTAATTTCCCTCTTAATTATCTCTTATTTTTCATTGCTATTTTTATTTCATGCTTATCTTCCTTATTGAGATACGGTTTGCTTTCATGTAAAATTTTGACTTTTATTTCAAATGTTATTTTAATCAAATCTTGTCAAATCATACAGCACTTGATTTTTGTTAGACTTTAAAATATTAAGTTTTCTCTGCCATTCATGCTAATTGATTTTAATAATTATTGCTCTCGCACAGTACGGGGCAATAATTTATATTTGCTCTTTCTCAGTTATTTTGTTCTCTACAATAAATTCCTTCTATGTTTCAGTCAATGACACTCTCAGAAGCCATCAACGCTTGTCTAACTATTTTGAAACAAGTAATGGAAGAAAAACTCAATTCTAGCAACGTTGAAGTTGTTACTGTCACTCCTGAAAAACTCTATCATCTCTTCACAAAGGAGGAAGTGGAAGCGGTAAGAAAAAGTTTACATTTTAAACCTCCTCTCTCTCTCCACGAGTCATGTATCACTTACTTAAAGGAGTAGACATGGCAGATGGCAGGAGGATCATGCTCTTATATCATGCCTCTTGTATATTTATCTATTGTGTCTTTGTCTTTACTTCCCTGGAGAATAGTCTGAATCCAGCACTATCCTGCCATCTTGTTATGGGAGTAGCATATGAGGATCTCTTCAACCAAACAGTATAAATTCATGTAGATATTGCTTTGATTTTTGTAGATTGTGCGACTCTTTCTTTTTTCACAGGCATACAAAGACTTTAACATGGTACATTTTTAGCCAAAATATTTATTATAACAAGGAGAAAATGCAAGGAAAATCGCAGAACAGAGCGCATAGTTATGTTCAAACTAAATAGGTGGTTCAGACATTGCTCAATTTTAGCAACGTTAATATACACATGTATAACTGGTCGGGAAGGTCCTCATCCTATATATTAAAATGCAAAGTTCCGAATCTTTGGGCGTTAACTTTGAGAGAACCACCGGACCGATTTGCCTGATCTTTTTTTTTAAATGAAAGCCCCTGAGCTGTAGATTTGCAGCCTGTAATTTGTTCTTCGATTTTTTCAGATTTTCTCCTATAATTTTCTCAAATTTTCTCCAATTTATTAAAACAGAGGTCCGAATCTTTGGATGTTAACTTTAAAAGAACCACCGGACCAATTTGCATGATTTTTGTTATAAATGAAAGCCTTCGATCTGTAGATTTGCAGGCTGTGATTGTTTTTTCGATTTTCTCAAATTTTCTTATTTTTATCGACGAGTAAAGTTTAGCTGGGCTCGAATTTTCTCCCATTAATTCAGACGAAAGTCCGAATTTTGTGACATTAACTTTGAGAGAACCACCGGACCGATTTGCATGGGTTTTTTTTAAATGAAAGCTTCCGATCTGTAGATTTGCAGGCTGTAATTGTTTTTTCGATTTTCTCAAATTTTCTTACTTTTATCGATGAGTAAAGTTCAAATGTTTCGAGCGATTTTCTGGCCGCTACCTGCTTGCCCGTCCCTAGGTACCCCCCCTCGACGGTCTCAGCCACCCCTCCCGCCACATTCTTTCGGCAATCTCCGTTTTCTTTCATATAGCTCTCCTCCCACCAACCTCATAGAAGGAGGTTTGGGTCGCATCATCGTTCGTCACTCGCCACCCACAACAACTTATTATGCTACCTTACAACTTATTATGCTACCTTAGTACAGTTAATTTACTGCAGCTATTTCATTCATTCATTGAGTAGAATTTATTTAAAATTTTTTTCTTTAAACTATGTTTTTGATAAACAGATGGAAACCTGGTAATTGCCTAATTGTTAACTTAAATCTAGACTGTATATTAATTTAATCATTTTATTTTATTTTATTTTTTTTTTTTATATTTTTTTTTATTTTTTATTTTCTTTGCAATCCCTCGGCTGCTCCGCTTCACAGCTTCTTGATATCCTGGCATCTTATTCTCTGCAGCTTGACTGACCCTGACTTATTAACTGCAGTATTGCGTATTGCTAGCAACACGTATTGTTACAGACATTTTCTTCATCATTATTAAATAGTTTCAGCTAATTGCTCCGATTCCAATCAAGCTACTGCACCACCATTGCTAGCTGTAGAGGGCGCTCGGAGCAGCTAGTATCATCTTAATTTTGAGATTTTACCGCAAGTGCAATTTCTCACAAGCACTTTTTCTGCGTTTGCTCTGAGGGTAGATTTTTATGGCAGCGGACTCAGAGTTATTTTAATTTTGTCAACATTATGTCAGTCCTCAACTTTTTAAGGCCATTTTAACAGCAATAAAATTAATTATTGTGGCAATCAGCAAGGTTCCATCAAGGATCTCATAGAATCTGCTCTCAATTCAGCGTTTAGCAAGCACCTCATATTTTCTCTAATGCCAATATTTTTATTTCTTTCTCACAGGCTTTAAGCGAAGTCAAACCACTGATAAAAGATGAACCATCTTCAAGCTCGACCTCTAAATCATAATCTTCATTCAGCCTCTTCATTCATGTAAGAATTCATTCGAACATAAAGTTTAAATATTTTTTTCATTTTTTCAACCTGTTAATTTTTAAGTACTTTGTTTAATAAATTATTTTGTAATGGATTTGCCAACTTAGAAGTACTTTATTTCCTCATCACATTGTTCATAAATCTATTTTTAGCATGATGCTAAAAGGGGACGCCTTATTAAAATTAATGTTGTATAAAAAGCAATTCTCGTTGATGTAGGGACACCCTCAAAATTTCGTTTTGCATACATTCAAAAACTGTTGGAGTTGACGACTTTACAGATACCCTGTATGAGAAATGAGCACTATTAATTCAGCAAACCTCTAAATCATCTAATTACTTTGCTTAAAACTTGAACAATGCTGTCATGTCAATCAAATTTGGTAACCTCCATTGAATCATTGATCGTTTGATGATCTTTTGGAAAGTTCCTTCAAGGTTATGTCGTTGCAAAGTTTCCTGGATGTTTTAAAGAGGGTTCAGTACAAACATAAACTCAAATAAAAAATAAATATTTTTATTGTTTTCCACTTGAAATTTAATAAATAATCATCACAGTCATAGAATAAAGTATATCGGCACAGTTGTGACAATCTCAGCCAAATTTTACATTGTCCCTTCGTAAAAGTAATTTACATGAGATACTTTACGCTTATGAAAAGTCCTCATTCCAAAAATATTCATGCTTCATATAAAATTTGCCCAATTAGCCATGGGTCACTAAATACATTGCTACTTTTCTCCAAATCAAGAGTTCTTAGGATAAAACAATACCTTTTTATACAATTTATGCATCTTATGCTTTATGATAGGAATCTGAACCAAGTAATTATTAAAAGTTACTTCATAAGCTTTCATGGCAATGAATCAAACAATGAGGCTTTTCAAAAACCTCATTGGGTTTAGTTTGCCTGCCACTACCTGTGCCATGTTATAAATCAATTTTCGATGTCTTCATGCATTGGCGTGAATTTCAACAATCAGGCCACTGGCTTATTATTGTCTCTTTACAACTGGCAAGACACAAGAGAGAAAAAAATTTCAAATTTCTTTCCGAAAAAATTCGGTCAATAGCAGAAATAATGAACAACAGCCTGAATCAGCAGTTATTCAATGATAAATATATGGCAAAACAATTTTAACCTTTCTTTCATGTCTCAAGCTGCTACTGCACTAATAATTTGTTGGCGTTAAAGTAGCTTTTAATTAGATCTCGTCACATAATACTCAAGAAGATGGTCCTGCATCAACTAAGGAGTTACGATGATTCTTGGGAGAGGCCCCCTTCAAAGGCATGAAGATTTTCTCAATCATCAAGAATGGAGTCCAGCCATTCATTGAGATCCTCTGTTTCTTCTTGAGCAGAGCAGTTGGTTTCTTCTTTTGGAATCTGTGGTTTTTCAGACGGATCTAGGGGAAAAAAATCAAATTTAACAAAGGGGAAAATTTGATGGTTGGACTGGCATAAGGATGATCAATAGAGCTTGGGACAAACTAGACTCCAAAGACTTGAGGGTTACTTAAAGCAATTTTAGAACCACACAGTTTTTTCAAAAATTGAACTGTACCTTTTTTGCAGATACGTATTAAATTATAGGAAAACAAAAGAACAAACAGTAGAGTTGAAAATTTAGAAAAGAGCATAAAAAGAAGTTGAGTAACAAGTTTTTTTTTTTTTCAGGAAATCTCAGAGATTTTTTTGCAAATAAAAGTTGGCAGAGGACTGCAAACTTTCATCCACAGGCTAAATATAATTCAAAAATTCAGAAAAATGTTTTTCCTTAACTATGTAGGTCACTATGAAGAAAAATGTACAAGTTTTTGTTTTTTAGAACAGATAAGAAAAACTATGTTGTTGCATATTGCACGGTTGTAAAATTTTATCGGCACTATACACAAGTTACTACATAAACTTAAAACTTTTTGGGAAAACCGATTAATATCACTTACTTCACTTCACTCACTTCACTACACGAAATGGCCATCGTGCATAGAAAATAAGTAAGTAAGTGATAATAATCGGTTTTCCCAAAAAGTTTTAAGTTTATGTAGTAATTTGAGATAAGAAAAAGACTTTATCTGTTTTATACTTATATTTGTATAGTCACAGAAACCCTTTACCTCCCGTCAAACTCTGTAAAAAAAAAGTCTACAACAGATTTTTGTAAAAATTCATCCTTCAGCTTCTGGCGATTTTTAACTTTAGTCAGTTGCTGGTTTCAATTCACTTAAGGTATATGCGTTCACGTGAGGCATGCATTTTGACCATTGGTTGGTCTTCGCGGTAAATGTATGGGGATGAAAACTTTAAATGCGATTTTTTCTGGACGATTTTTTTTGGTATGGGACCTCTCTCCGAAACCTTCCTCAACTCTGGAGAGCTGTAGTGGACGTAGGAGATTTTTCCACGAGTGAATTTAATTTAATTTAATTTAGAGGACAAATTGTAGACTTCTTAAAAATCGAAGACTATAGAGGGATACATACTGGGTGTTGAGACTGACTGAGCCTCACTGGAGAATAGAAGATCAGTTAGATCAGAACGGACGTTTTTGAACTGGGCAGTGAGCGCTGAAACATTGTCATAGTCTGGCTCTGAAACAGTCTTTGGAGGTTCTACTGCTTTATTTTGTTGCTTTTTGACACTGGACAGCAGCTGATCCAAATCTTTCATATTTTTTGTTGAACCAAGATTCTGAGAGTGGAGTTTGAACTGTTGTTCGGCCTTGATGTCCATTTCTTGTTTCTCATCAGACTAAAACAGAAAAATTATTGATTAAAAAAAAGTATTAATGAGAAAAGAAACCCCAAAAACAGATACTTCATAGTGATTTTTAAATCAATGAATATATAAATAAATTAAAAATAAAAAAAAATAAAAGTAGATCACTAAAAAAAGTATGATAACAAGAAACCTAGCTTTTAATATAATTTCTTAAGGATTATCTTTATTCTTAGAGCAGGGGTTTGCCAGATAGTCAGGGTTGTTTTTAAAGCCTGCAGAGGTGTACTGTGGTGGTGTGAGAGCAATTGACTAAGTTTTTTTCTTTAAACAGAATATTTTGTTCTTGGGTCTTTTGTCTATAGTTCTTCACAAGCAAAGAGAAGGAAGCGATTGCAATGAGGGCAATCTTTCAGCATGAAATAATAAACCTCAGAGATTATAGGACTCTGTGCCAGAGGTATAGAATTTCAAACCATGCAGAGTGTCACAAAAAATTTGAGGGCAAAATAGCAGTGGACACTCACCGTAAAAAAATCATGAAAAAGATTGACACGATCATAAAAAGGCACGGCTGAAAGACTCGAGGCAAGTTGCTTTAAGTCGATGTGAAAATATTGATTACTGATATTTTCTGGGCAGGATGCCCAATCAGCTTCCCCTTTAAACTGGAAAATGCCACCTGAAATGATAGAAAAAATTGTAAAAGGAGAGAAGAAATCACATTTAGTGACATTATTGCCATGGTCATGGGAGAGGCTTTTTGTAAGGCCTGGTCATCATTCTGCACAAGTAAATCGATGATGGAAGAATAGCTACTAATTGTAAGTAAGTATTTACCTAGGTCAATAAAATCAAACAAAAAAACAATGGAATATTTTGTAGATGAATGCTGAGTGGATATGCCATTAACAATACCGTATTAATAGAAATTTCCTACCCTTTTCCTTTAATAGTTCCCTTCTTTGATTATGCGCTACCAGTGTACTGTGATATTACTGCTAAGCAGCTGGATAAGTTACGGACAGCCTAGAACTCCTGTATTCGCTACATTCATGACTTGTCTTGATTTGACTTCGTTAAGCCGTACTTTGAAAAGTTAAAATGGCTGAAGTTGGCTGAGAGACTAGAGCTCATGACTGTTATAACTGCGAAGAGCATCATGTGTATTAATCAGCCTATGGAATTGAAAGCTTTGTACATGCAGGTGGGTCAAAGCAGGTCGACTGCCCCTTGTAGTGTTCAATACCAGGTTCCTCCTCATAGAACTGCTGTCTTCCATAAATCCTTCTCAGTTTCTTCAATTAGGATCTCTAATTGTTTGCCCATATCATGTAGAGAAGAGGATAATTTAAATATTTTTAGAAGAGATGTAAAATCATTTTTGTTCAGTTGATATGATTATTAATTAATTCAGCTTATTCATCCATTTACTTTCTTACCTACTTACATTTATATTTATCATTTATTATATCTACTGTCGATTCATTGATATTTTCTATATTTTCCCTAAAGTTGTCAAAGTATGTTTAGCACTAGAAGTTCATATGGTTCCTTGTTTTAAGCAGTTTTTCTTTCTTTTTGCAAATATTGTCAGATGTAGTTTGTTGTATTGTATGCATTGAATGTGCTATGCTGGCCACGAGGAAGACAGGACCAGTTGGTCCTATTGTTGCCAGCCTAAATAACCTTGCTTAAAGCTAAATCTAAAACTAAATCCTTACCTGTCACATCATCAGCTGCTGCCAATTCTTCTAAACTAGCTGCGCAAGGCTCTGGATCAACATCTGGTAAACTTTTATCATAATACGATTGATTTGAAACAATTTTCGATCGAGCATATTTTTGTGATTCATATTCTTCACTGTCTGAACCTGAAGAGTTGGATTCTTCTTCATCTGCTACTTTAGTGCTCCCTGAAAATGAGCAATGCTATGTACAGATTAGTGCATGCATACCAACTGAATCAAGTAAGATGCCAGAAAGAGTTAAAAATTACCGCGCCAAATCTGAGAGTTCAACTTCACTGGAAAAACTGGAGAGTAACGAATAATCAAAATAAAAAACGGCAGTTTTGACCTTGGTGAAAAGATTGGCTTTTAAATAAAAACCTACATCTGAGCCTGGTAGAAAATATATAGGTAGAAATATTGGCTGAATGAAATATTTTGTTGGAATCATCATTGGTGTTTTTGCTGATAGTTGCAAAATAATATTGGTCTACCTATGACATACTGAAATAATCGAAACATTTCTTTCGAAAACCCACTGGTATTACCTAATTGCAGATATTTTCTTGGTTTGGCAATTTGCTGACTTTTCTAAAACATAAGAGGTCGGTGCTTAGCATCCCAATTGAAAATGTTTGGATGTGTTGATCATTGAGATATGCTGATGGGTACATTCAGTAAAGTTGGAAATACTCAGAACCTGAACAGTGAAATACCAGCGATCAAGGCATGCCAAAAAAAAAGAAGAAAAAGCCATTTCAAAAGAATGGATAAAGAAAGACTTACTGGATGCTCATAAGAAGGGAAAATAGAGGGTATTTACCTATCAAAACAAGGATGCTTCCTAACATTGGAAACCTTTCCAAGCAGCCAATCATCTTACTGGTCCATTCAGGTATACGTTTTATATTTGCTAGATTGTGGATAGTAACGAATGAAAGCTAAAATTGGAAAGTAGTACCCTGATGCATCTTGAGTTTTGCAGATTACCGATTGTAAGTTTCCTTCTCTTTCTGTAAGATCTTTGGAGGAGACTTTGAGAATTTCAATTTCTAGTATTACAGGCATGTACTTAAGTGGAAAATCTTGAAGACCTGGACATCTTGGAGACATTTTAGAGCTTTCTTTTGACACCCTGGACAAAGTAAAAACCGACGTTGTCTAGGAGCCCTACCAGGTATCCTTTTGTGCAGCACTATCCCAAACCTTTCACATACTACCTCTAGAAGTCTCATCTCCTTACCCTCATAAAGAATTGAAGGAAGGATGAATAAATTATTAGGTAAAAGGTAATAGAGAAACAAAAGAATATTAAAGAAATATGGCTGCAGCCATATTTAAATGATAAATAGGAGAGATGACCTTACTGTTAGTGTTTGTAACTGTATCATTGGGTCTGCTCTTGCTGACTTCATTTGCACTTCCCTTCTTCTTGCGCGCTTTGCTGTGGACTTTGTCTTTCTTCATTTTCTTCGCTCTATAATCAGAACAAATAATGAATATTGATTACCTAATAAAAGGATTTTTCCTCAATGACTTGACTAAAAATTGAACGAGAATTAGCAGAAAATATTGAACTTTTCCTCACTCTGTAACCATCGACAGTGTAATGATAATTCAAAGGAGTTGATACAAACTTGCCATGCTATTTGAATCAACTCATGTGAAAACGTCCGTTGTCCGATACAGGGTTTCATAATTGCAGTGGTCTCTTTTGCCCCACCACACTAATGAATAAGATCGATCTCTTTTGCAAACATTCAGGGCCGGATTTACCAATAGGCTACATAGGCTATAGCCTAGGGCGCAACATTCTGAGGGGCGCAACATTTTTGAGAATTTATTCAAAAACGTGACTTATTAAAAAATGACATTTTTGTTGTCATCAAATGTCAACATTTTCCTGACACCTAACATCCTCCCTCTGATCTGGAGGGGAGGGACGTCTGGAGACTCCCCCCCCCCACGAGAGCGCCTACTTTTAGAGGCGCCACCCTAAGTTTAGCCTAGGGCGCAAAAAATGTAAATCCGGCCCTGCAAACATTTAATTCTACTTGGGGGATTATTTACAAAATCGTTCTACATTCAATGCCTTAAACCATCTTGTGTCTTTTAATTACAACGAAATCGGCACTGTCAAATCCTGAAATACTGTATTGGACGGTTATTATGCAGATTACCGGCCCCTGGGCATATCGAGTTTCTGATCTTCCTGTCGGCAGGAGTTGGTTTCTAACTTCACAGAGAGGTAAAATACGGTGGCGGAAACGTNNTGTTTTTGCATTATTTTTACCTTGTACTTTCCTGTTTTCTGAATAAAAGTGTATTTTCGCCTTTGCGTACTCCCGAATCAGTGTTTCTTTCATTTCTTAGGTTGGCATCACAATAAGTATCCCCACAACAACAACAAAAATGGCGGAAATCGTGTTTCGTGAGCCCTTTAATTTTGGTGTTATTTCACTACATTGTGATCATTAAACAGCGTTTTTCATGGTTTCCGCCACTTAATTTCGATTTTACTTACCTTACTTTACCTCCCTGTGAAGTTTCCATCAATTTTCCGGTAGGAGTTCGTGGGGCCCGTAATGTGCATTTTTACCTATTGGACATCGGAAGTCTCCGTACACGCCGATTCAATTAATACCCTCCTATCTGAAACCAGTCAGATAACTTCCACCTCTGGATGTCCGTCTACCTTTTATACCCCTCAGACAGAACTTAGAGGGCCTTTAGAGTCAATAACATTTTACTGCTAGAACATGATTAGCCTATGAAATTAATTATGTGTTGCTGAGTTCTGCACTTCTTCCACTACAGGAAGTATTTCTAAGGTGCCCTCCCTACACCAACTATTTTATCCATAGATACACCTCAGACATTTGTCCACCTTAGTTGCAAGACAGAATCTTAATTGCACAGCAAGGGAAAATGTTTAGATTCGGTACAGTCTAGAAGACATTTGACGTAAGAAATACGACAAACCAGAGTGAGATAAGATTAATGTTGTCCTAATTACTTACCTATCTTTCTTGGCATTGAAACTGTCCATCTTTGAAGTGTGAAATGATGATACACAGTTGATTGAATGATGCACAATATTTATAAAGTGAAACGGTAAAAGGAACAGGATTTTGACAGAAATTTATTTGTTTACATCTGTTATCATTGTTGTGATAAAACCTAACCTCTTCTTCAATTCAAATGTTGCCAAACCTCTGGTCCGCCGATTGTAGAACTACTGGGGGGGGGGGGGGGGGCAATCCTATAGAGGGCCCCCTCTCTGAGAACATCTCCCCCCCCTTTTATCATCCGCCATTCAGTGAAAATGATGGGACCTAAAATTTTGGCAAAGGTTAGTAAGTCAAAGGAATTAAAATGGTGCAAAATTTTTCGGGAGTGTTCTGATTTTTGTGGCAATCGCGGGAGAGTTGCATCACCACCAATCAACGGTGCATCGCCGACCAATGGGAGACAGCAACATCTGAGTGCCAGCCACAGATTTGTCCTTATCAGGAGCTATGCAGAAACAGGAGCAGGTTCGACAATAACAATAACTAACCCCCTACCGGCGAGGAAAGTGATAGTGGCGATAGTGCGTGATTACTCTAAAAACTGTACAAGAACTGTGAAATTACAGGCAGGCCCAAGTGCGTTAAATATGGCACCCTCATTGAGTTTGGATGACTACGACTGTATAGGATTTGATCTAGACAATACTCTCGGTGAGTACCAGCTTTTAGCTAACGCTAAACTAGAGTTTGATTTGTTCGCAAAATACTTAGTGGAGCGAAAAGGATACGACAGTAGCATCTTCCTCCCACCCTTTGAGGACGAAATTGATTTTGTACAGCGAGGTCTCATCTTGGACAATTTTAAGGGGAATATACTGAAAATTGGTCATGATGGCACTGTATTGCGAGCATGCCACGGAACGAAAGCAATGAGTAACGAAGAAATAGCTGAAACTTACGGTCCCGAAAGGAAGTGGAATATTGGTGTTGAATATTGCTCAAATCCTCTAACTTATTGGGAGGGGTCCCTGGCAGAGCAGATGCGGACACTTTTGGACTACTTTGACACCCCAGCCTCCCTACTGTTCGCCAGAGCGGTAGACGCTGTTGATATCAAACTGGGTAAAAGACCGGAAAAATATACTGTTTTTCCTGATATGCTTGAAGGACTAAAGGAAATGTATGCACGAGAGCACTTTCAGTTGAACAAAGGAGGATATTTTCCTACTATTAAAGCCGACTATCCCAAGTATGTGAAAAAAAGTAGTCCTAACATCCTAAAATGGCTCAGAGAATTGAAGAAAACAAAGAAATTGTTTGTAATCACAGGATCTAATATTGACTATGCATCCTGGACAAGTAAGCAAGCACTGGGTGATGACTGGAAAGAGTATTTTGATATTGGAGTCTTTTACTCAAGAAAACCAGGATTTTTCACTGCCCGTCGACCATTCTTAAAAATCGAAGGAATCACTGAAACAGATCCTGTTACCAGTGACGATCTGCAGCCGAATAATTGTTATAGTCAAGGCAACTGGCCAGACTTATATAAATTTTTGGGCAGAATCACCGGCAAAGAGGAACCGAAGTGCCTCTACATTGGTGATAATTTGTTGCAAGATATTTTCACACCATCAAGATATTCTAACTGTGATACAATAGCTGTCATTGAGGAACTCAATGCGGAGTCAGATCCAGAAAAAAATCCCAATTCCCGACACGAAGCAGAATCTTATTTAAAATCAAACTTTTGGGGTTCATATTTCTTTGATGAAAAATCAGACAAACCGACTCTTTGGGCGAAAATGATCCACCAGCATTCCAAACTTTGTATTCCTAGTCTTGAAGTGTTGGCTCAACTTCCTATCGATCATTCATTTGAATGTTTTTCTCCTGATGAAGCAGAGCAAAATATAGCTCTAAATTTATCTGGTTACTATCCGTTCAGCCCTCCAAGTTTAAGTACAAAACAGAAAGGAACAATTAGCCAAGCGTAACTTGTTGCTAAAAGATTTCCTATGTATATCTAATGCTGTTCATTACTTACCTCTCATATTGGCATAGGTATTCATTGAAATGTCAAGAGCGGTAGAGTCATTGTGTGAACTCAAATCGATTGAGTGTCCAGTCTTCTGGCTGATAAAATCTGTCACAAATATATTTTAATTTATTCAGTATTTTGTAAAGAAAAATTGTTGCTCATAAATGGATAAAATGTAATTTTATCGCAAATTATATTTTTTATATTTGCTTACGTACCTTAGCAGTTGCATCAGTTTAAAATTCCCTTTCTTCCACCTTTTTAAATTAACTTGCTAAAAGCTTCATTGACATGGCTGTTGGCCTCCTCTGTTTTGTCCGTAAAAAGCTTCAAAGAAGGAATTCCTTTCACTCGTTTAAATCAAGCAACTTTTTGATTCTTCTGTAGATGATGACCTTTCATATACTCATTTAATTTTAAGAGCAGCTTTAAATTAAATTAAGTCTAAGTACTTCAAAATATACTACCCTTACAGCAACTACTGTTAAAAATAATACTGTTTAGAAAACTTAATTGTAAATTTTAAAAAGACAATGGTTAAAATGTTCGTTTCAGGGAACCCTCTTTGGGTATTTTGTTAAATGAAATTTACAAGTGATAAAATTTCAGTGAGATACTTTTAATAAAAACTGTTAAAAAACTCTTAAAAAACTCTTAAAAAGTCACGTATATATAGCTTGTCACTGTTAGCTTAGAATGTTTGAAAAATGTTTAAAAATTCTTTAAAAGAAGTCACATTTGTTCTCTCAAGACTTTTTCAGTATTAAAGGCAACTGTGAGTCAAATATTTCCAAAAAATATAGGCAAAAAGGGTCTCCTTAAATGATCGTTTTAACTGTTTTTTTTCCCCCAGAGTTTTTGATAAATGCTTCTTAAAGGTCATTGCTACTAGGTAGAGTAGGCAAAAAGTGTGACGGAGCACAAATGTGGTTACTCGCATGGCTATTAATGGACTGAAGCTCGTTCTAAACCTCTCATGGCATGAAGTAGGTAATATTGAGTTTCAGAATCTGGGGGACACACATCAATGCTGTAGCTTTCGTTAAAAAATAGAGTACTAAATTTTCTCCCTTAAAATTTCAACAGTTTGGTACTTGATCATTTTTTCAAAGAATAAAAAATGTATACTTTGCAGCATCATGCCCCCAGAAAGATATGTAGTTCAAATCATGAGTGGCGGTAGCCACCACCGGGCAAGTAACCTATCCTCCAACAATTGGCAACACAGCACAGCCCGGTCGAGGCAACGACACCATAGTTTCACGAACTTGGCTTATTTGGGTTTTTAGTTGCGGTCTCAAAAGCTTTTCAAAGCAACGGAGCGACGGATTTCAGAAATTTTTTTATGAAACCGAAAAATGCGTTGTTACGAATAAGTTACACTATATGCCACAGAGGGCTAGATCAGATTGTATGAGGTTACATATCGACAGTGAAACTACCAGATTACGTATCTCGTTTGCGGCGTTTAAAAATCTCCACTCACAATTTATTTTTTTGAAGGAGATCAAATCAACATCATTCCTTACAATTTTCACAGATTTTTCTCCGCACAAAGAGGAAAAATCGCGGAAGTTTTCACGAATTGACGTAGAGTAGTTTTCTATTTAAAAAATAAAGTATGACAGGAAGTCTGCAACGTCGCAAACCGAGATACGTGGTTTGGTAGTTTCACCGTCGATATGCATGACCAAAGCCGAAAAGTGCGTATCTGAAATGCAATATTTCATAATCTCCGACTACGTTTTTTTTTTTTTTTAGGAGAAAACCAACCAAAATATATCCTTGAAATATTCTGTGAATATGTTTTAATAAAAGAATAACTTTCAAGGAAAGGTACTGAAAAAGCGCTGTAAATGTATTTGATATTGCCAGCCAGTTTTAGTAGATACATTATTCATGCAACACACGAATCCCAATGCGGAAAGCTGGCAGTTTCGAAAATGCCTTCAATTGTGGCGTGATACCTCACGCATTCCGGAGAGTACGAATAGTTGTATTGCTGCGCCTTAGCAATGCGATAAGTTTACTTTTAAGTTATAAAAAAAAAGTTGAGCGGAATTTTACAACATATTACCATCGGAGGTACGCACTTCCCAACTTCAGCCATCCATAGATGCATCAAAATTGGCAGTTCTTTCATTATTTTCAATCTGAATTTCACCTGATATCAAAATAACCTGATGGTGAAAAAAGTCATTGAATTGTCAGTAAAAGCGAGAGGCCACGAAACACCTAAGAGTGGAAAGTCATTTTTGAAAGGTAAAAAAAAAAGAATGTCAAGAACTAATAGTTACTCTAAGTACCTACTGTGCTAAGTTGTTGAATTCCGTAAAACTTCTTTATAGCAAAAATACATTTTTCGGATTTCGTCTTTTAAAGGCACCAAAAGAGTACTGATTTTTTCTGCTTATGAGGTATTGAATTTCTCGGAAAGGTACTGAAAAAGCACTGTAAAAGTATTTGATATTGCCAGCCAGTTTTAGTAGATACATTATTCATGCAACACACGAATCCCAATGCGGAAAGCTGGCAGTTTCGAAAACGCCCTCAATTGTGGCGTGATACCTCACGCATTCCGGAGAGTACGAATAGTTGTATTGCTGCGCCTTAGCAATGCGATGAAAGATTAATAATTGGATTACATTTTGCAAAAAGGAACCACTAGTATTGCAATGTTGCTAATATTGTGCAACTTCTTTGGTCTTGGAGGAAAAACCCGATTATCCATTCATAGTTTCTATTTTACTCGCTAAAAATTGTAAATTTAAAACAAAAATAACCATCTAAATTTCATAGTTTTTCACGATTTCAGCAATATTATTGCAAAAGATGAAGTTGCACAATCTCCCAAGTAGCATTTTGCAACGAAAAAATTGCAATTTAAATGAAATAAAATTTCCAGATGATTTCAACTTTCTTGCAAGAAAATTGCAATTATTTTACAACATCTGACCCCCTCATTGTAAAAAAGTTGCAATTTTTTTTTTTGCAAAGAAATTTCAATATTGACGACCTTTAAATTTCAACCCCTAAATTTTCCGGGGAAATTATAATAATTCGAACCCATGCTTACCTAATGTCCTACGACGTTTAGCAGCATAAGATACCGGACGCCCTTGAGTGGCTTGAACCCGACCCGCGAATGTCATAGCGGAGCACTCTTCCACTGAGCTACAGGGAGCTGATGATGAGCTTGGTTGAAATCACGCCTGTTATGGTTAAGGCTGTTATCGCATGCATTGCGTCAGTGCGTGGCTCAACATTCATCATAGATTTGATTAACGCCGTTTTTCTCAGGCTTCTTTCTTTTGCCTATTATTTATTTTTTTTCGTGTTATTTATTTTTTTCATATTTTTTTTGTCTGATTTTTTTTTTCGATATCACGTAATAGGTACTCACACTAAATTTATACCGGTGTAAATTACACCACATACTAACTTGAGAACTTAAAAATATTTTCAAAAAATATTTTTAAAATATTTTCAAAACTTTCTTAAGGAATATTTTTAACATGCATATTTACAGGCAATATTTTTGAATTATTTTAAAAATATTTTTTGTAAACATTTTCAAAATATTACTTTAAAATGTTTTAAAAATATTTTGAAAATATTTTACTTACAATATTGCCATGAAAATATTTTGATAAAGGTGACAATATTTTCAAAATATGTTGGGCTATATGGGTTAGGTAGGTGAGACATTTAAGTCGAAAAAACTTTAAAACAACTAGAGAATTGGATGCCAGGCACATGGCGTGAATTTGTTACAACATGATTGCACCGAAATTGCAGTCTTTATAGTGCCTTGAAAAACAAGCATAATCTACATTTCTTGCAAACTTATTGCAATAAAATTGCAACTTTTTAAGCGCCTTCAAATGAACGTATAGGCAACAAGCAAAAATTGCAATCAACTCACAATCCATTGCAATGAAATTGCAATCCATGCTACTTGGGCTTAGCATCATTGCAATGCTAGTGGTTTCTTTTTGCAAAATGCAATCCAATTATGGTAACGCATTTTGCGTGTTTATTTAATGAATTAATTAAAAGAGAAAGGCAAGACTTTTTGTCTTTTGCTTGAAACATTAATATTGAAGTGAAGTGGCCTCCACGCTGGCTTTGCCGGTTTTCCTTCGCCGCTATTGCAGTCTTGACCAAACAGTTTAGGTGTGCTCAAGCTAGGATTGTATTTAGAAAATGGATAATTTGTATAGAGGAATTAAAAATAAACAAGCGGTAAGAAATACACAATGTGTATTTCTTACCGCTTTTATGTATTTCTTTATGCTTCCTTTATGCTTTCTTTTTATGTATGTATACATACATATAAAAGCCGCTTTCATAGCGCTCTTTGGCGCTCCACGACACCCCTGCGGACAGTACCACTCCTTAATAACTAAGAAAATAAGATAATCCCTGGTAAGAAATATAACTCAATAAAAGGAACTCAAACAACAATAAAATACAAAATAGTACATTGTAGTAGTAATGTACATATGTAGTTTAGTGTATAAAAAGCTTAAATGGAACGAAAACACATCCGAGCATATTTCACGCTCATAATCAACTGGAGCGAAAGCTACAATAAAAAAATTAAAACTAGTAAATGTGGGCATAACTGCAGCACTAAGAAGCTCGTAAGATCAGTAATTCCATTTATATTATGCTTTACATGCGCTTCATTTATTTCACTTACATGCTACACACGAATCTTGACATGGAAAGTTGGCAGTTTATAAAACGCCTTCAAATGTCTCGTGATACCTCACGCATTCCGGAGAGTACGAATAGTTGTTTCGTTGCGCCTTGGCGATGCGACGGAAGATAAATATTAAAAGTAGCCTAGTAGCCTTCACGCTGGTTTTGTCGTTTTTCTCTAGGGATTCCCCCCTAGCTCTGGTAACATGCAAAGTAAAACATTGAACGCAGGTACCCCATAGGTACTAAAGTAAATTTTAAACGATTTCACAATTCACGATGTGCCAGGAGCACAGCGCATTTTTTTCTATGACTTGATCAAACTTTTACATCAAAACTTGACAACCAGTATGTCATTTTTAGTCATTATTGAGGCAAGCCAGACCCCCCTCCCCCCTCAGCCCTATAGAAGTTCCGTTTATGCATGGAGGCAACTGATTATATACAGACTAATTAACAACTGTACGCAAGCGTTTAATTTACACTCGCACGGAAAATCAGGAAAACAAACAAGGTGTCGTCACTTTATTGGTCCTGGTGTAAAAGATGGTCCAGTCATCGAGGCGAACATTTATTCCATGCTTCAGTGCTTTAGACAGCAACGAGGTAATCAACTGTTAGCGCGAGTAGTCACAAGATGAATGTTAAATAAGGCAAAAAAGGATACTCTATCAATGCTATCATTTTATTCAGAATACTCTAATTATTACGCCCAGAAAACATACGAATTATTACTCTCATACATCGTTGATGTATTATTCCGAATCCGCCCCATTGATGTTACTCCACAACAGCTCCGGTCGGTTTGTTCTCTATTCCACAAGTGTTATCACCTCTGTAAATGTAGAAATAGCCCTGCGATTCAGAGAGAAAACAAATTATATGAAAGGTGACAATAAATAGTAATCATCGAAAAATACAGCCGGTGCAGACTTGCGGCGAAGAGGGGGGGGGAGGTTCGTACAAATTGTGGACTAGAACCTCTCACTTTTTTCGCGCTACTTAAAAGGCCCCCTATCCCCCCGTCTTTGATTTTGTGCAAAAGAAAATGCAACGTCGCGCCTCACACGACGCCTCTAGACAGCCTTTTGATTTCGGGGATGGAGGATGGCTAGAGCAGAGCCCCCAAGCACCCCTCCCTAGCTACGAGCTTGGATTTTTCCTCACAATATAGGCCTATTTTTCCAGCTGCGCCATCGTTAGCGCAGCAGGTAACAGACAGCATCAAAATTATTCATAAATTAATTAGTAATATTTAATTATTATTTTTACCATTAATATACTCATTATACTCACCCTCGCCCGAGGACCCCCATAATTTTTACCCCAGCTGTTCTTAACAATCCAGTAAGGTAAACTTCTTTTCCGATTTCTATCATCCTCCGATCTAACTTCTGAAAATAAGAAAAAAATACAAACATTTTCGTTTCAAGTTGGTAAAATTAGGAACCTTTTTGTGAAAATCTAACTTTTTAGCATGGAGATCTTACCCATGATGTTCGGATCTGTTTACGACTGTTCGCCTCCCTCCTATATTCGGTTGTGTTGCTCACGTAGCCCTTGAAGCACCACTATAAATAAGGCAAACGGGGAAACGACGCGCGTTGATGACGGCGCAGAGATACGACTATTCGTGCCTGATGGATGTCCGTGTTGCATGTGCAAAATTGAAGGCGCGCGATGGCGAGAGGCGTGCAATCACAATTCTCTGCTATATCAGTTGTCACTAAGATTCGGGCGGAAAGTTAAAATACGAGGGTAGAATATCTTCTCTGCTCCTATCTTTGACTGTATTGACACTCGATTTCTTTCTTTTTTTCAATCTGGCGTCTGATTCTTTTTAGGGTGTATTTGTAAACTTATAATCTAAAGCTCGTATGCACCGGCACCAAGATGAGATAGCCCCTAGGAAAAGATGGGAGGGTCAATTTGACTGGACTAGGGATTTCTAGCGGTATACTTGTCAAAAAAAATCCTTGACGCTCGACTCTTGTCTTTTTTTCGACACGATTTCAGTTTCTTTTTGATGGCGTATTTGTCGACCTATATCAGAAGCTTGTATGTACCGGCCCCATACAACCCGTAGGACAAGGCTTTTCATCAAGCTTTGGGTCAATTTGACCCGGCTTGGGCATTTAAGGGCCAAGTTCTCACCAGAACCAATACCAGGTGTAAATTAATGTTTTCCTCCTCACTTGTTTTCAAAGATGTGACCCGGCCCCTGATAAAGAGACTCTTGTCAGAAGAGGCAAAATTCTAGTACCCAGACAGATTTTCCTGGATTGGGTGAAAAATTGGACTCAAAGACTTTGACGAAATATTTTTTCCAGTGTCCCAAGCAGTGACTTCACTGAGATGTGTATTTGCATGAAGTTGAGTTCATTTCAGTGGCAGTAGAATGGAAATTTGCATCATGACGCGGAAATTTCGAGTCAAGGACATGTCTCGTTGGACTTTCAAGAGAATCAACTTTTTTTTCGAAGCTACAATATTTAAACTGTAAACCACAATAATGTTGGTTTGGTTTGAAATTTTCGGGGTTTTGTAATCAAAAATTTTATGCAGAACGGTTATGCATCATGAAAGTTCTTTGAAAATTTGTTGGATCGACCATTCAGTCGAGTGAGATGTAGTCCCGGTCTCAAAGATATGGAGGCCGCTGATTCCCTCATAATAAATCCAGATATAACATGTGTGTGAGTGTGATGCCTATGTTTTTCATTTCAGCATCGGCGGATCCAGAAAATTGGCAACATTTTGTTTCACGGCCGGATTTAGGGGGTGGCCAAATGGGCCGCGGCCCATGGCGGCAAATTTTGCAATTTTTTCAAATGTAGGTATTAAAAAAGCGCAATGCTGACGAGGACTTGAGATGAAAAGGAGGAGCCCTCGACGCGGAGGTCCGCGTGAAATACATGGCGCCTACACGACTGAATGAATACTTCACGCATTGCGTCAAGCACAGTGCGTTCAGCAGCGGTCGGCGTGAAACACACAGCGCCTACAAGACTGTAGGAATACTTCACGCATTGCACAGTGCGGTCAGCGAGACGCAACGCGGCGCGGCTGTGGAAATTAAACCAAATTTATGTTTGTTCGTCCTTAACTTTTTCTCTCATCTCTTATAAATGGAAGGCCTTGTCTACACAGAGATAGGTTTACGGAACTTAACTTTCGCGCAAAGTTCCGTGAACTTTTACAGGAGTAAACGTGTCCTATGCACCCCTTTTCCTCCGACAAGTTCACTTGATAGTTTTTATTTTTGTTTCAAAAAGAATGAGAAGGGGGCGGCAAAATACAGGTGGCCCATGGGCGGCAAGTCGGTAAATCCGGCCCTGTTTTGTTTTGTAACATATGGAAATGTATCGATTCTTGGGGGGATCAGGTGCCCCGACAAGATAGGTTAAAATGGAGGAGACACGGTGTTGCCAAATTGCTGTATCCGCCCCCGCGTTTCAGACATTTTAAATTTTACAATTATATCTCTCTTTCACTTATCTTACACCCCTGCAGAAAGTATCGAGTCGAAATTCAGCTGTCCAAATACTATAGTTTCACTGTGCAATATACCAATATAACTTTATACATTCAGTTCTCTCGCTTTCTGTCCATCTGCAGTCCTCAGTGCAGGCCGAATGGACACAGTATAAATAAGAAGAAAGTAAATGGGCTGAAAGCAGGGCCCCCGAGTGCGCAAAATTAATTTTTCTACCAAATTCCACTCATAATATAAAATCATAAGCGTAACGCGTAACGCATAACTGCGTAGCATCTCTTGTGATAAACCCTTGTGTCCTTAAGTCCCTTGTGTGTCAATGACAATGGAAATTAAGAACAGTATTCTCGAAGTCACCGAGAATTTTCCCCCTTACGCGCCCTGGTAAAAATTGGCAGTAGAACCTGTGTTCCAAAATACCATAGACCTACAGCCGGCTGCAAGATTTCCAATAGCTTCCATATAGCCGGCTACACAATTTCTTATAGCCTTTTATAGCCGATGGCGACTAAGCAACAGCCAGGCGATAAAGTGTATGCTAAACGTTACCAATTACGGATGCTAGGACTTAGTGAGTTTTTGGACCACTCCTCTCTTTTTGGGCCGTAGTATCTTGATTTATTTTGCGAGGAAATCTCCATACTTTTGATGGATGCCTGCCATTCCTAATATATTAGAGCGCCTCCAGTTTCGTATGATACTGTGCAATACCTCTGGTGTGAAATACTTGCTTCAAGCGCCGTGGCATGCTGCGGCGGCGCGGCAGGCGGGCAGCCAGCGCGAAACGCGCATTGGCGCCTACAAACCTAACAGGGATACTTCACGCGTTGCGCAATGCGTGAAGTATCCCTGTTAGGTTTGTAGGCGCCAGTGCGTCGCCGCTCCGCTTTGTGTTAGGCTCTAGTATTTAATCTGGCGGAGTCAGCGTTATTCAACTCATGATTTTGAAATGTTTGCACATCCTGTATGGATTATTCTCATTTTAATTGATGAAAAAAAATATGTATTAAAGGAAAATATAATGTGCGTTTTGTAAATATTAAGGTGGTTCCGTATCAAACTTAATGATTTCAAAAGCACACGAATTTCTACACAATTTCTTGTAGCCTTTTATAATCGATGGCGAAAAAGCAATAGCCAGGCGATAATGTGTAAAGCCTGGCGATAGGAACTATAGCCCGGCTGCATAATTTTTTATCGCTTCGCACAGCCCGGCCGTCCGGCCGTATGATTTTCTCCGCATTCTACAGCCAACTATATGATCTTCTGTAGCCTTCTTTAGTCGGCTATAAGCATTCCTGTGGTATTTTGAAACACAGCTCTAGTAACACACAGCTAAGTTGCGTATTAGTGTTGAAAATCTGTGCGTCTTTCTGATATTGTGAGTGCTTTTTACCATACTTTTGTTGTTGGCGCCACTATATCCGATGTAATTACGAGTAGATAAATACACACCCGATACTCCATAACCGACAATTGTGGCTGCATGGTCCGCATGCTCTAAATCCTTGGAACAGCCGCTACTGGGTGGATGCATGACTCCTCCACGGTAGCCCTGATATCGAATGAAGAAATCTGTGATAAGATGTTTCATTTTATCAACAAAATTCCCGCCCGGCAAAAAGTGGAGTAGAAAAAATTGCGTTTACGTGACTGCCAAAATTAACGCTGCAGCAATATTTTTGCATACACCGAAAAAAATAAATTGCTGATTCAACAATTCAATTGCTAAAAACAGTGAGTGCAATGTTTCAATGTAGATTTTATAACAAAGAAATACTACTTTAACCATCCCCGTGGTTAAATTAGTTTACAATGTGGTTAGAGTAGCATTTTTTGTTGTAAAATCTACGTTGAAACATTGTACTCACTGTTTTTAGCAATTGAATCGTTGAATCAGAAATTTATTTTTTTCCGTGTAGTTTTCGTGACGATATTTTGGCATTTATCAGGAGAACGACTAAAAAAAAAAAAAAAAAAAAAAAAAAAAAAAAAAAAAAAAAAAAAAAAAAAAAGTAGTTCTAATTGTCGTCACCGCTCTTTATGAATGGAAAGGTAAAGACCAATACCGCAGTGCTAAGGAAAAACGCCGTGTAAACCTTCAGGAGTTGCCAAATATCCTTTTATAAAACACGAATTGTCTGGTGAACATATGAATATTATTCTCTCCATTTTTCATATAATTTTGTTTGCAATTTCACCTGAAGTTTCTGAAAATTTCGAGGAAAAAATTCTTAACTTGCCTCAAAAATGAACATTTTATCGAAGGAAATTTGGCAACTCTCGAATGTTCGTACGGCGTTCTTCCTTAGCACGGCAGGAAATCACAATATAAAATGTCACTATCTGATGACTTTGTTACCCAGTCCAGTAGGCACCGTGTTCTGAGGTCTGTTTACTTGAGACGCAAAAATATTTTCTTCAACGCATTAAACAAAAAAATACCGGCGTATATTAAGGAGCCGAATAGTATGCCTGATATTATTAAAACATTTGTTAAAAATAGATAAATAGATAGATAGATAGATGATGATGTACACTGGAAAAAAACACATTGGATCTAGAGTCCAGACTCTTAAAAACATCGACAAGAAAAAATACTCTTGATTCAATCAGATTTAAGCTTAAACCAAGAACCAAGCCTCTTAATTTGAGCGGATTTTCTTTTGATTTGAGCTTGAATCTGATTGAATCAAGAGTCCTTTTTCTTGTCAATATTTTCATGAGTCTGGACTCTAGATCCGATGTGTTTTGTTTCCAGTGTAGGTACTTACATACAGGGATTCGGCACTTAAACTAACGGCGAGGGGGCCGTTTCTACAGACATGTGCAGTCATCATATTGCTGTCGGGTTCTACCATTATGAGACGCCGCACCTTAAGAATGGCCATATCTTTGTCAAAAAGGCACTCGCTTGTTGCATTTTCGCCCTTGTAAGGATACGTTTTATCTGATTCCAACCCCCCGGCCTCTTGCACATATTTGATCATGTTATGACTCCAACCTCCGCCGCATCCACGTGACCTCGTGTCACAATCGAGGAGCTCTTAAACAATACCCATGTATAAATGGAAAAACAAATTAAAAAGAATTCTGTCTTCTTTCAACCTAAGATAGCTAATTTTATCAACCTGCCTTAGAAATACAATAAAAATGAGTTTAGGGGCTGTTCAAAGTTTTTTACGAAGTGTAAAGTCACCTCAGTTGCCTTCCTAGGTTTTACGAAGGAAAGGTTATAGGCGGGTCGAGTCTAGTCTAACGTAAGCTTCCCTCTTAAAGAAAAAAAAATATAAAAGAATAATATTTTTCAGTACTGAAGATAATTTTCCCGCTACTTTTCAGAATTTGCTCTTTCCACCGAAAACTTGGGGTCAGAGTTGCGTAATTCAAAAGGATAGGAGGTTGTTGATAAAGCTTATTTTTGTCACTCAACCTCCCTGAATATAATATGATCTTAACGAGACAACCTCTGAAAAATTCTGATTGAGTCTTTCTTGATCCCTAAATGAACAGCGCAGAGCATCGGAGGTCAAAATTGGTAGCTCAATTTTTTGATCCGTTTGTGAGGAATGGAAAATTGATCACCTGCATCTTAACTTTTCTATTAAAGGTTTAAGTAGGTAGGAAATAGCTTCCTTAAGAGGCTTCGTCGGAGAAAATAATCGATTATAGCTTGAAGCGCTTTCAGTTGCACATGATACACCTTACTTTATCCCTTTGTTAGTTTGGTTGCCTCATTCCGTAATCAGCTTTGGGCTAACTGAGCTTTATGAGGCGCTCCTTCAATAATTTTTTTTCGATACCTATAGTTTACATTATTGGCACAGTTAATTTGAAATGCTGGAATTAAGGTAAGGTACAAGAGAAATAAGTAAAAAGTCCTCAGTTACTATCGCATGCGAATACCTAATGATTTTCGTTATAGCGCCTGCATGCAACTATTCGATATTCACGGATGTCCCTATTGCATACACACGGTTTTGCAGGCGTTTTGACTCAGTAGGCGCTCACAGCTTCACCCGCGGTGTGGCTGGCAGTATTGTGAGAATCCAAAAGAACCGAGCGCTTTCAATTTTTCGTGTATACTACAAAGACACCTTTAAGACATTAGGAATAAAACTTAAGCACAAACGATACTCACATCCAGCGTGTTTTTGTAGTAGAAATGGGGAATTGAAGGCGCTCTGTCTTTTTTGATCCTCTCTGTACTTTCCGCTGCTGCGCCACACCGCGGAGGAAGCGATGAATGCCCAGGGAGTAAAAACTCCTTCTCTCCCGCGAGTATGCAACACCGACATCTATGGAGCTCAAAGAGTTGCATCTGGGCGTTAGAGTGAAATTCATATACCGTTTGTGGCATGCAATACTAATTTCTCTTGCTCGCTCAGTGGCGAAGTATTTAGACAAAGCCGACCTAAAGTTCCAAACATAAAATCCTAGTTGACAAAAATCAAATAAATCTCTTCAAATTTTCATGTTTAAAGGATTATTTTCGCCCTTGAGCAACCTTCACAAACATACTCATTTAAATTATGTGCGCGTTTATCTTTTGAACAGACGCTATTCAACATCGTGTCATTGTAGAAATTTTGTTACATTGCAACCACATTTCTATCATACCTAAAGTTTTCCTTGTTTCTTTTTCTCCAGTTTCAAGGGTAATCTCTTGCGCAAACGACTCAGCAAATCCTCAACTGCGTTTTTAGAGTTTGCGCTCTTGGAATTCAACCCCCTCCAGGTACCCGAAATGGTCGTAAAAATTTCGTCAAAAAGAATGAAAATTTTTCCTCCGATAATGGGAGAATGTTCAGACTTACGCTGTTCTGAAAAATACTTGATAGAACGGTGCTTAATGCTGTAAAGTATTTCAAGAGTAGCCACGGTTGCAAACGCAGAACAAGAACCGCAAATAAACCCCTGTTGATTCAAGAAATAAGACGTGATGAAATACGAATAAAAATAAAGTTAAGACAAACTTACGGATTTTTAAGAAAAAGAAAACTTGCGAGAGCAGAATTAAAAGCTGCACGCGACAACTTTGATTGATTTGTCATCACAATTTTTTGGAAATCATGATTACCTTTCTTATCCTTTCTGACCTCAATCATAACTGGTAGATGAAGAAGATTTTTTCAGTACATAACAAGCGTTTAAGTAAAAACTGCTCTATATTTTCATCTCAGTCTGTCCAGCGGTCCACAATCTCGTATATACACCACGTTTCAAAACTTCAAAAACTAAAAAGGCCCCAAAGGCCCGTTTTACCTATTTAAAAATATTTTACATCATAAGATATACTTAAAACTTTGACGATGTTATAATGGCAACCGTTGATGACGTAGTCGGGACATGTACTGATGTCGTCATTGAGACACCCTTTGATGAAGTCCTCATATCTTCATAGTCGTCATAATTTAGTCCACATCATTTAAGTTCGGTATGGTTCAGCAGATACGGTATTAATATTTTTTAATTTTATTGGCCACATTATTATCTGTAGGTAAATTGGGTAAAAATTTCTCCTGGATTGATTGATCAAGGTAATTTACCAATAAATTACAAATTGATGGAAATAAAATGGAAATACAATTGGAAATAAATTACCAACTGTATTGGACATCTTCTCTCAAGTTTCGCTACGTGGAAATCATATTGCTAGTTTCATGCTAGATAGGAACTCAATTATAGATCATAATAATTCGCCCCTTTGTGGTCACAGAGTGACTATAGTAATTGATCTTTATCCTTATATTAAAATCATACGAACCTGTTCTTTAATACGGCCCACTACTCCTTCGTCTCTCCAGTCAAAGTTTTCGGGAATTATCTTCTTATCCCCAGGAGATGGATCATCATAGTATACCATGCTTTCGTTCACACTTACGTCAAATGGTTCTTTTTTTATCCCTGATATTCTTTGCTTAAATTCTTCAACTAAACAAAAAAAAAAAAAAAAAATGGGCTGAAGGGGAAAAAACTATAAGAGGCGTTTAAAGAACCATATCGAACATGAGAATTGTTCGATAGTACAGAAGTTTTCGAATGCATCCTTCAAAGGCATTTTTCCAAGCCTGAAGGTCCTTATATAGAGTTTCCTTAAACCAGCTTCCTCGATGAAGGTGAATCTTCAGCGTGACTTCTGAAAAAAACACCCTGTTGTGCTGCTGGCTCTAGAACTAGCGATTTTTTTAATAGTATTAAATTCAATAATTAAATCAATAATTACCTCATTTAATACCTAGTATTAAACTCAAAAGCTCTAGAAAAATGTGTGTAGAACTATCAAATCGGAAAAGAGCTTTGAAAGTTCAGTAGTAAGGGCTAGAAATGTTATCCCAGTTTCTCTAATGGGATACCTCTAAGTGCAAGAGAGATGAAACAACAATCAGACTACTCACTGCTGTACTCACAGCAACTCAGACGAAATTACCTCCGCCTGTAAGAGCTAATTTTGTCATCATTCCGTCCTTGAAAAAACTTCATATCTTAGCCCTCAGTGAATAGGTAATTTTAATCCAAGAAGTTTTTCCAGTTTTTCCGTCCTGAGAGAGCTGGTAGTTAAATTTCCAACCTTAGTAATCTTTGTTTTTACGCGCTTTGATTTTACTACACTGGGCCGAGTGTGTTTACCTCGTATAATCAGTCTCGGTCTCACAGTAACAGCAAATCGACGACTCATTTTTATTTATTTTTCGTTCCCAGTTGATAATGGACTTAAAAAATAATGGACTTTTAAAATGTCCCGGGGTTTTCCTTTGATTTGTCCCCCTCTTGCAGCCTTTCCCCAAATTAAGTTATTTTTTTATCCAAGAAAGTTTTAGAGGGTCGCGTTTGAAAGCTAATGATTTGATCCAAAATGTCCAAGAAACTGCATTTCAATGATTGAAATTCAATCAGTGGAACGGTTCTCGTAGCACAAAATCAGTCTCAGTTGCCCTACGTAGTTAAAAAGTTACTCACATGTCCAATCAGAGAACTGATCGATGCCATAAACAGCAGTTCCCCTATCCGCCTCATTCATCTTATCATAACGTAGCAAATTTTCTCTGAAAATATCCAACCTTTCCCTTCTAAAATCGTTACTTCTGTACAGTTTGTCATAATCCCTTAGATATAAGTCGAACAGTAGCTCGGTTTCGTTCGGAGTCAAGGCTCCATAGGTAATTTTCTCCGGTGAAGGTGATATATGCTCATACGTCCGGGAATCCTGGGCACTCGCGTCGTTAAGTAATAACACACACACAATAAACCACGAGCACAATAAACTCATATAGGACAGCGGGAGACATGCAGCTGTACTGTAAGGGACGTGACGATATACGTTGGTGTATTAGTAATCTGCAAAACCACTTGCTCAACCGAAGTTTTCGAAAGAAACGACAGAACTCCCGCACAAACCCTCTCCTTTGACTTACGGAATTTGACGACGGTTTTCCACTTTCACCGACCATTAACCGCGAACGATGTCTCATTAAAACTGGAACGATTAAATATCGTCTCGACCATTCCCGTATTTCACTCATTGACGGTGAATTTTCCCTACACGCTCGGTATTATTTGCATCTGGCATAACCCCACATTTTCATGCGAAAACTTCTTGACTTGATGGGTTCATTCAAGCAGTGAAAAATATTCTTTTTTGAAATATTAGGTACCAATAAATGTCGTACCAAAGTATACATCCAGCGCGTTTTGCTCTTAATCGTTTTATCGCTTAATCGTCTAATTCCGAAAGTTTAGGAATTAGGATTCAAAAACTTCAGTTCGCAATGAAAGTTGTTCGCGAGTTCTCTTGTTGCCAATCCTGCAAAGTCTTGGGTCTTCGATTCGGAAGTTACCTAATACAGTTTTCAGTGACGTGGCGTGAATTGCGATGTATCGATTGTTATGCCATTTAAACCTATAAAAAAGGATCGATAGACAGGGTGTTTGCAGCGAACACCTTAATAATCGATTCTTTACCATAGGTTAAAATGGCATTCACGCTACGCCACTGACAGTTTTCCTTCTTTGGGTGATCACTTAAAACTTTATTTTTAAGCAAAGCCCCGCGCATCTGACTACTCAATCGATGTCTCACAAAAATTGACTTTTCTGAGCAAGAATTTGGAGTAGTGGCATAGAGAAAAAAAAAGGTGTTAGCATTTCGGGCATCTTGGATTTTTTTTGATGACGTAGGTAGGTACGACGAGCTTTATCATCGATTTTCTTGGAAATGGTGTAATTTATTATGGAAAAAAGTCATTCTATAAAAAGTACTTGAAATTATATCATAAGTTAATTTAAGCTAAAAATTCGGACATTCGTTCGTTTTTCATACTTCAAATTCCGGATTTCGCTGGCCAGGTTCAAGGCCGCTCAAACACCTCCTTTTTTTTCTCTATGGAATAGAGGAAGGTTCAGAAATCAAACTGTATACCACTGTAAAACCTACTATAATACTATTGAGTGAAAAAAATCGTCCTCTGACACACATTAATACCCGTATAGGTAACATTTTGCTCATAAATCAGTACAAAAATCTAGATTTTTCCTTTGGAAATTCGATTTTTAAGCAAGATGAGCTAAAATCTAGGAGACTATTGACCGAAAATTAGTTCCATGTTCATTGCCTCAATACCAACCTTTCTATGATGGGATGATGCTTATTTTGATTTGTGACGTTGTAAAGTGCGTACTTAATTTCTATTCTTCAATTAAAAACCAGTGATTCATTTGATTTTTTACAGATTTTGAATCATCCTACAGATTTCTGCTAAATTTTCAATCGAACCGTTAATTTCTTTTAACGCACGTTTTTTTAAAATTATATTTGATTGTAACTTTTATTTATTAATATTGATTTATTAAAAGTTTAAGTTAAGCAAAAGTAAGAACTTTCAAAGTTATAAATAAACTAATCATTTAATTTTTAATAAAGAAGTTTTGTAAACTTATACTTAAACAATACGTACCCCCAGGACCGGATTAAGGGGGTGGCCACATGGCGGCAAATTTTGCGATTTTTTTAAATGTGGCTGTATAAAGAAAAATTGGATTCAGGAAAAAAAAATTACGAACGAGAAAAGGTGACAAAATCTCTCATTTCCTGAGAGGATATCTCTAATTTTGTCGTCCTTCTGTGATACAATAGACAGCACCTTTAAATAGTCGAGTTAAGACTAAGGGAGAAACCGAACACGGAATTTGGCTGGAACGGCGCGGCGCAGAGAACAATGATGACGAGAACATGAGATGAAAAGGAGAAACCCTCGGCGCGGCGGTCGGTATGTAACACATTTTAGCGCCCACAAGACTGCATGAATACTTCACGCATTGCGTCAAACACAGTGCGTGCAGCAGCGGTCGGCCCGAAACGCATAGCGCATGTAAGACTGTAGGAATACTTCACGCATTGCGCCAAACACAGTGCGATCAGCGCGGCGTGGCGGCGAAAGTTAAAATTATTAAACCACATTTATGTTTGTTGTTTCATAATTTTTTGGTTCATTTCTTATAAATGGAAAGCCTTGTCCTTACAGAGATAGGTTTACGGAACTTAACTTTCGTGCCATGTTCCGTATGAACGTTTGCTAGTAGTGTTGACAGGGCTTTCGCAAAAAAATGTGACCAACACGAGTAAACGCGACTTATACACCCCTCCCCTCCGGCACGTTCACCTGATGGTTTTTATTGGTCATTCAAAACGAATGAGAAGGGGGCGGCAAAATACAGGCGGCCTATGGGCGGTAAGTAAGTAAATCCGGCCCTGCGTACCCCGCACAATTCGTATACATACGTCATAGCCATGGATGCATGTTTAAGACAGCATTATTCTCTTCACACAAAAGCAATTACTCGCATAAACGGCACAATTTTTGGAAATAGATTCTCTTTGAGCTGTTTTACGGAACCCTAGTAGCATGATTCACTTTCCCCTTCCTAACAAACGTATAAGGAATTAATACCGGTTATATAAGCACCATTTTAACTAAAGTTTATGTATCGTGTATATAAGTTTTATATAAAATGCCCATGAAAATAATTATTCATATTTTCAGAAGATAACGTTTATATAAAATTCATATAATTGAGGAAGGGTTTTTATAAATTTTCTTTATACGCATAGTATCCTTTTGCTTAATTTGCTTAATATAACTGTTATATAAATGACCTGAATGACTTTAACGTAAACCTATCTCATTTTCATGAATGATGATGATGATCTCATTTCAATGAACACCCTCGACTCTCAGACTGCGTGGGATAGGTATTATTAGAGGTATTAGTGGCTCCGAGACGAGTTAAAAGGGGATATTTCGGCACACAATCCGAGGAGCCCTGTTACCTCAGTTGGTAGCGTGTCTGGCTCATAACCCTGCCCAGTTAGACAGCAATATTTTAAAAATATTTTAAAAATATTGAAATTTAATATATTTTTAAAATGTTTTTCATGTATTTTTAAAATATTTTCAAAAATACTTTTGAAATACAATCAATGAATATTTTTAAAACATTTTAAAAATATATTAAAAATATAAAAAATTAAAATTTTTAAAATAATATTTTTTAATATTTTTAAAGTATATCATAATTATTTTTGTTAATATTTTAAACATATTATTAAATATTATTTTAAAAATTTTAATTTTTTTTAAAATGTTTAAATTAATATTATAAAAATTTAAAAGAAAAAAGGAAATGAAAATAATAATAAATAAATAACATAAATACATCGACATAAATTCAAACTAGAAAAAGGCCCAAATAATTAAAACTGGAAAAAGACGCAATTATAAAGCTAAAAAAAATAGAGAGAGAGAGAGTTAAAAAAATGAGAGTTAAAAAAAAATAGAGAGAGTTAGAAAAAATGATAGTTAAAAAACATGATAGTTAAAAAAAAGAGAGAGCTAAAAAAATGACAGAGAGTTTAAAAAAATGAAAATGAAAAAATTACATCATTAAATAAAAAACAATAGATAAATAAATAATAAATAATAAAGTCTGGTAAAATATCATAAGAATCCGTCAATAAACAAACATATTACGGACTCAGAGGCCTGCGATAGTTAAGAGATTGAATGAGCCTCTAGACAGGGTAAGAACTGGAGGCTCTAAGCACATGAATCTGCATCAGAATTTTGCGTAGAATTCAATGGTACAAACGGGAATTCATGAAACCAACTAATAAGCGAGATATTTGCGTAAATAGACTGCGCATTTTTGTAAATCCCGCTCGCCTAATATACGAATGACGTCACATTTGTAGCCAATAGGATTGTCGCAGCGCTGCGCAGCGCCGACTGAGCATCGGCCATCGAAAACGTCCAACGCTCCCAACGCCGGGATCGTAAACAAACGAAAATTGATAACAGGAAGGACCCAACCCAAGCACCCAAGCAACTCGAAATCTTTTAATTTTCATTAATTACAGTCCATGTTCGACTTCAAGAAAGCATTTGACAACCATTTTCCTCGTATTTCATAACCTGGAGCCACAGCCTATCGGCTCATTGTAATGTGCACTCTGAGAATCAGTTCCACAAGTCCAAACCCTGACATTCTTTTCTTTGACCATTCTATTTTCATTCTCGCCACAATTCAAGTGTTATGCAGTTTCTTTATCTAAAATATGTGGTCTTGAATTCATTCAGGAGTCAGAAGTTTACCTTTCTTTTAGTATTACAGCCCTTTGACCCCTCAAACTTCTCCGATATGACCTCATGTAGTTCAAGGTTTCTCTGGCCCGAACCGAGTGATTACACATCTGAGGTGTGTCTCATGGTTCTTCAAATTAGCAGTTTAGAACTAAATTAGGGACTACAGTGACTCAATCCAGTTCTGCTTTCTTGTTCAATGTTTGTATCAGTGTCTGTTCTTTTTCGTGACCAATCTAGTGCATGCACTGTTACGCTATAAGTACAGGTATTATTGCTTTTTTCCTGCTGTCAGACCTTTTTCTTAAGCCTGCTGATTCACCACAGAATCTGCCCTAGTTGTGTAAATAATTTGGTGTGTAGTTATTGAATTAATACCTCCTTGCGGTGATGCAAACTTTCTCAGATCCGTCATAAGTGGGTATTGCATTTAGACGATCACTCGGACCAGATGAAATCACTGCCCTAGCAGCTTCAAATTTATACTTTGATCTCTGATTCACTAATAAATAACACTTTATGGTGTCATTTATATTTAATCAGTTCAAAGCTAATTCGACAATGAATCATCAATGGACCGATCGAAAAAGGAATTTTCTGGTGCGTGCTATGGCTGAATCGACACTACATTCAATTTTCGAAAGCTTCAATCAGGACATGACCATCCGTCTTGAAGTGAAAATATTTTTCAACCATTCAAGTAGTTCAAAAGGTAAGATATCTGAAGTTACTAAGGTATCACCAGGGTACATACGGATCTGTTGTTGGACAGTTAGTGTGAGTATGCTTACGTTTGTGGATAATCATTCATGGCAAAAAGAGGATGTTAATGACAAGGCTAAACTGGGAAACCACTTACCTAAATTCACAAAGTTTCAGACTTCCTGTTCCTCTTAATTTCTCAATTAAAAAATCATTCAACAAAATCTCTGAAATGTGATATTTTTCCTCTACATGGGCAGAAAATTCAGTAATTAATTCAAACAATATGCTGACTTGCTTCCCTTTGAAAGTCTGAATTGGATGTAGAAAGTTTGAGCAACGTATTCAGGATATGTAATTTACACGTTTTGCAAATGATACCTATGTTTGGCCATTAGATTGGTTTGAGAAGTAAATGTTACAAATGTCATCCCTGGTCAATCTGAACTGTTTTTCCCAACTTGTTTTCATGGTGGGATGTAATTCTATGACTTTTCAAGATCCTTTCATCTTTCAGTACCTGAAAAATTCAGTGAACCAAACGACTTTCAATAGGAATCGTTGGCAACTTTACCATTGAAATGATTCTTAGGTGATTTTGAATGGAACAATCTTACACAAACTTTTGTTGAGCAGGTTTTACTCGCCCTGAATTCTTAAAAGAGAGGAAAAATATTTTCTTAACGCTTGGAGGATGATCTAACTATGTTGCAGGTAAGTAGGTGTGATCACTTCATTTCATGAAATTCAGTAAGGCTCGTCGCTGCATGAAAACATAAAACATAAAACATAACACATAAAACATACTGATTAAGAAATGAATCCTCAAATAATTAGCAACTGTTTTGTGCAATATCTGTTGATTAGCATTTGATGATAACTAGAATACAAAAATTCTGAAATTAAGAAACCAGGAATAAATAACTACCAGAATGGTCTTATCAGATTTTCTCTGAGACAAATTTCCATATTCATTGATGAAGTGTAGCGTGCATTTGAATTCACAATGTTTGGAATTTCCAATAGCATTTAAGGCCTGAGGCACAATTCCTTATCTTTTAAAGCAGGGAAGACACCTTGGACCCTCCATCATTCGTAACTCACAGCTTTCAGATTGGTTCAGTCATGTCTTCGAGCAGAAAAGCCCTTTAAATGACCAATTTCCACAATTTTATAACTTCACCCACTTGAAATGTTGTATTCCTCTTTAGATATATGGCAGGAGAGTATATTCTGAAATTTACAGGACACACATCTCTTCAGAAATAGGAGAGTGCTAACATAATTATTACTTACCAAGTACCAGTTCCTGATGAATTTTTTTAAGGTTCATGCTTTCGAAAGTTGAGTTGTAGGTAATGTCGATTCAGCCGTAGCACGCACCAGAAAATTCCTTTTTCGATCGGTCCATTGATGATTCATTGTCGAATTAGCTTTGAACTGATTAAATATAAATGACACCATAAAGTGTTATTTATTAGTGAATCAGAGATCAAAGTATAAATTTGAAGCTGCTAGGGCAGTGATTTCATCTGGTCCGAGTGATCGTCTAAATGCAATACCCACTTATGACGGATCTGAGAAAGTTTGCATCACCGCAAGGAGGTATTAACTCAATAACTACACACCAAATTATTTACACAACTAGGGCAGATTCTGTGGTGAATCAGCAGGCTTAAGAAAAAGGTCTGACAGCAGGAAAAAAGCAATAATACCTGTACTTATAGCGTAACAGTGCATGCACTAGATTGGTCACGAAAAAGAACAGACACTGATACAAACATTGAACAAGAAAGCAGAACTGGATTGAGTCACTGTAGTCCCTAATTTAGTTCTAAACTGCTAATTTGAAGAACCATGAGACACACCTCAGATGTGTAATCACTCGGTTCGGGCCAGAGAAACCTTGAACTACATGAGGTCATATCGGAGAAGTTTGAGGGGTCAAAGGGCTGTAATACTAAAAGAAAGGTAAACTTCTGACTCCTGAATGAATTCAAGACCACATATTTTAGATAAAGAAACTGCATAACACTTAAATTGTGGCGAGAATGAAAATAGAATGGTCAAAGAAAAGAATGTCAGGGTTTGGACTTGTGGAACTGATTCTCAGAGTGCACATTACAATGAGCCGATAGGCTGTGGCTCCAGGTTATGAAATACGAGGAAAATGGTTGTCAAATGCTTTCTTGAAGTCGAACATGGACTGTAATTAATGAAAATTAAAAGATTTCGAGTTGCTTGGGTGCTTGGGTTGGGTCCTTCCTGTTATCAATTTTCGTTTGTTTACGATCCCGGCGTTGGGAGCGTTGGACGTTTTCGATGGCCGATGCTCAGTCGGCGCTGCGCAGCGCTGCGACAATCCTATTGGCTACAAATGTGACGTCATTCGTATATTAGGCGAGCGGGATTTACAAAAATGCGCAGTCTATTTACGCAAATATCTCGCTTATTAGTTGGTTTCATGAATTCCCGTTTGTACCATTGAATTCTACGCAAAATTCTGATGCAGATTCTTGTGCTTAGAGCCTCCAGTTCTTACCCTGTCTAGAGGCTCATTTAGGGGCCCATCCATATCAAGCCTGGCTGGTCTGGTGGTAAAGTACTGGACTTCGGATTGCAACTCCATCCCGAGGTGTGGGTTCTAATCCCGCCTAGGACGCCGCAGATTGAAGGTAAGTCACAACTCTACGATGATCCACCACCTGGTAGTATCGCATATGAAAACTTGCACACTTCATAACTAGAGTGCGCTACCAGCCAGGAAGAATAATGAAAATTAATTTTATACACTGTTTGAATTTGGTTATATAACTTTTATACTAAGGGTCACATAAAAAGCGTATTGATAATGTAAACTTTTAACTAAAAAACTTTACATCCATTACATAAACAATGAATATTCTTTAGCTTGTGGTTATTTACGGTTTATACTTTTAAAAACAAATTTTTTATATAACTCTGCTACTAGGGAATGTAGCTCCGATCGCTATGGTAATGTCAAAATATTAGTCTTTCGTTTGTTCGCTTCCAAAAAAATAAAGTAACATCGGAAATTCTGGGATATCGCAATCGGGAAACGTGCGTTGCGTTGTTCCAATTTTGCTATTGCTCCGACTATGCCTCAACAATCCAAAAATCTACTCACCTGAAGGGCGCCGTGTTTCTTGACGGATGTATTCATCCGGAAAATCTATATGCAACCCTAAGCAAAGATGGCAGCTGAAGAAGTCGAATTATGTCCTTTACTGATATCAAATTACATTCCTCAACGAAGGAGCTTATTAGGTAGCTCATATGGGATTTTAAAAACAGTTTATTGGTCAATTTTGAATACATTTATTTTGTTGATTTTCACGTAAATAGTGTCGCTCTCTCCTCCTTTTCTATCACATGAGAACGTGACCGGCTCTAAAAAATTGTTGGCCCTTCTTCCAAGTTAAATACTTCAAACTCAATGGTTTATTTTACGCGTTGATTAGAGCTTCCAAAAACTGAATCAATTCTGGCAGTGTCATTCCATCGATGAGGTGCGATACTCTAGTCTTGACAGCTTCATTTATGTGAGGTTGGATTCTTTCTCTATTTTTATTTACGAAATTTGCTCCTCCATCTGAAAGAATTTTATTCACGGTCTTCCCTAATTTGCTGTTGTTCAGAAGTCCATCCAAATTCACCTGAAATCAAAGTGAACGAATGAAAATGCGACTCCGCCGATTACCAAACGTTACAAGTTCGTATGCTAAAACCACCTGTCTTAAATTCTATCAAATCAATGTACAGAAATATGATCGAAAGTAATTTTTTTTTTGTTTTCTCAAAAACTATCGAGATAAGCAAATCATGGTATTACCTCGAAATATCTCATATATCAAATCAAAATCAAATTATAAGGAGGCATGACTTTTTTGAACAATGCAGAAAAAGTTGCCGCGATGTTTGAATTTTAATGCGCTCATTTTTTACTTCTTTTCTGTACCCAACCTTTTTTCTTTCCTCATCCGTAGTCATACGTTCGAGACGATTCAGCCGCAACACAGATCGGATCATTCAGAAATGTTTAGCAGCTCCCATGAAATTTTACAGAATTTTATAATAACTTACCGAGCCCTGCTGCACATTGAATTTGACACCGACTTCTTTGACGTATAGTATTTTATTAAGGCTGAGACCAAAGTGTAAGTGGAGCAAAATGTTTAAGTTTGAAACGCTCTCACTGAAACATAAATTTAAAGAAAACAAATATAAATAACTTAAAATTTACATTTAAATTTAATGGCTCTGGCGAAAAATCTTACGTCCCGGAAAATGAACATTATTGTGTTTAAACTATGACGATGAATGAAGTGAAGGGCAAAAAAGCGGAGAATAATTACTGTAAACGTAGATAAGCCACATCCGTAAGCGACATGGGTACACACACCCAGTCAGCACCGCAATATTTTTAAAACATTTTTAAAACATTTTTGACATTATTTTGTAATTATTTTTAAAACATTGTCAAAATATTTTCAAAATTGCTACATGTTAACTCCATGTACATATTTTAAAAATATTTCCAAGGAAAATTTTAAAAATATTTTCAAAATATTTTATCGAAAATATTTTACCGGAACGTTTACCTGTTTGTATACCATGCGCGCTCTATCAATGGTTATTGACACTATTCCCTTCTGTATACTCAGCGCGCTCTGTCAAGTAGATGTGGAGGTACAGGCAAATTTCGTCATTTTCATAGTACTGCAATTTTATTACATTTGAAACATGAAATACACAAGTACTGAACATTTAAACCACTTACCTGAATTCCTGCGACGTTTAGGAGCGTAAAACACCCGGACGCCCTCGTGCGGACTGGAACCTGGGCCGCGAGTTTGGTAGCCGAGCACTCTAGCCACTGAGCCACAGAGAGCTCATGGTGGGCCGGGTTAAAATCACGCCTGTTATAGCATGCGTTGCGTCAGTGCGCGGCTCGTTCCTGTTATTTGTTTTTTTCGATCTCACGTAATAGGTACTTACATTAAATTTACACTAATGTAAATAACACCTCATAATAACTGAAAATAAGGACTTGAAAATATTTTTAAAAAATATTTTTAAAATAATTCAAAAATATTGTTTGTAAATATTTTTTAAAAAATACTGTAAAAATATTTTCAAAACTTTTTTATTAATATTTTAAAAATGTTTACAGACAATATTTTTGAATTATTTTCAAAATATTTTCAAAATATTAATAAAAAAGTTTTGAAAATATTTTTGAAAATAGTTGGAAAATACTTTTTAAAAATTATTTACGTGACAATATTATAAAAATATTTTTATGCTTTTATTTTATAAATAATTACATTAAATATTTTTACAATATTGCTATGTAAATTATTTTTTAAAAGTATTTTTCAATTATTTTCAAAATTTTTTAGCAATGTTATTTAAAACTTTTTTAAAAATATTTTTTAAAACTATTTTAAAAAAGTTGTATCAATATTTTTCAGAGGATATTTTAATAGCAATAATGAAAATATTTTTAAAATGTTTTTAAAATATTGCGGACTGACTGGGACGGTGTAATGACGTATTTATTGAAATTGAGTGTATAAGGAGAAAATTTTCCTGTTCTCCTACCACACTCGATCAGAGGCGTAGGAAGGGGGGGGGGGCTGGCCCTCCCCAGAATTGGAAATAGTATCATAGTATTGGAATAGTATCATAGTATAGTGTAAATACTGAAGATTTCTCGTCTAACAAGAAAAACATATTTATGTCTCTCCTTCTTAGTGATATTATTTTTCACTCAATTATAATAGTTTTATTTTTTCTAAAAATCATTATAGTTGTTAACACAAGGATAAAAATAATTAACCCCCCCCCCCCAGAAATTCTGGATGGTACAAAAACACCTTCTTCAACGGTAAAGTCTCTGTCGCCGTGGCCCGTGAGAGGATGCCTTTAAATAGAATAACCTGTTGAATGCAACAATTTCAAAGTATTTTAACCTTAAAATGTATAAAACTGAGCGATTTTTAGGCAGAGATTGAAGGAAGAATAGCGCCACAAGTGCCTCGAGATGCGCTCAAATAGAGTTAAAATTTCAAAAATTTTCCAGGGGAGGACCCCCGGTGGTGGAGGGCCCCCCCCCCCCCCCCCCNCCCCCCCCCCCCCAGCAAAATGACCTACCTACGCCTATGATAAAAGGCTACAAGAAATTGTGTAGAAATTCGTGTGCTTTTGAAATCATTAAGTTTGATACGGAACCACCTTAATATTTACAAAACATACATTATATTTTCCTTTAATACATATTTTTTTTCATCAATTAAAATGAGAATAATCCATGCATACAGGATGTGCAAACATTTCAAAATCATGAGTTGAATAACGCTGACTCCGCCAGATTAAATATTAGAGCCTAACACAAAGCGGAGCGGCGACACACAGGCGCCTACAAACCTAACAGGGATACTTCACGCATTGCGCAACGCGTGAAGTATCCCTGTTAGGTTTGTAGGCGCAAATGCGCGTTTCGCGCTGGCTGCCCGCCTGCCGCGCCGCGCGCCGCAGCGTGCCACGGCGCTTGAAGCAAGTATTTGCAAGTAAGCAACTCAGCAAAATGACCTAGCTACGCATATGCACTCGATTGCGAATATACTCAATTTCTGCATTCGTGTTACAAGCTTCTTTCCTTGCGCTTCTATGAGAAGAATGCTGCGTGGCATTGCCTCTTTTGATATGCCTTTCTTCTTGTGCTCAACGTTGTATGCGGCTAAAGGGTACCTATATGATCCATCTTGGTGAAGAATTTAATATTTTGGATAGACATATGATGATCCCAACCAAAATTTACTTACTCTAATGATCCGTCTCCATAAAATACATCGACGTCTTGAAATAGAGAAGCTTTGGCTTTGTACGTTCCTTTTCTGTTGATGTTTGTGAACGTCAGGTCTAAATCAGCCTTTAAGCTGAACATACTCGCCGAGACATGGTTGACAACAAACTCGGACAGCCCTGTCGTCGTGACATTCTTACTCTCCATTTTGAATCTACAAAATTAAATAGCATGTGGTGAGTTACTTTGTCGCATGAAAATTATTTCAGAATCTACAAACATACGGTGAACATACTTATGGTATTTGAATGGATGTATCGACGGTGTAAGTCCGTAATGACATGCATATCTCGTTTACGGTGTCTGAAAATCTCCGCCTCTATGTTATTTTTTTACATAAGGAGTGTACAAATTGACATCATTCCTTGAAGTTTTTTCAGAATTTTCTTCGCATAGAGAAGAAAAATCACTGCAGTTTTAAAGAATAGTTGTTGAGTAGTTTTCCGTTTAAAAAATAAAGTATGAGCGAGGAAGTCTGCGACGTCGCAAATCGAGTTACGTGATTGATATGGTATCCCTTTGATCGTCGCTAACGAAAGCTGTCTCATTTTGTCGCTCCTCCAACGTAAGGGCGTGTCTCTATTTTCACGTGAGCCCCACTGTCCATATAAATACATGCTCTCCGGGGCTCAGGTGAAAATGACGATGCGCCCTCACGTCAAAAAGGAGCGACAAAATGAGGCAACGTGAAATGCGATTAGGCCCATTTGGACCGCGTTTAACAGAAAGGGACCAAGCCACATCAGCTATTGCCAAATTTAACAGGGTAATATAATTTTTTACCAGTGACCGTTTGTGTGGATTCCTCTAAAAAATTTTAGGAATTTGCTTCGTACTATGGAGAAAATCCACTAAAATTTGCGCGAAAATCCGCACAATCGTTTTCATGTAAAAAATTAAATTGCCCAATTAAATTTGGCAATAGCTGATGTGGCTTGGTTCCTTTCTGCTTAACGCGGTCCATTTATGATTTAGACTGCATTTTACAATTTGGAACTATAAATTCTAGCTCTTCTGGAAAAACACTTATGTACACAGCGAAACTAATGGCACATGCGTTGTTTTTAAACCGGGCTAGAATTTATAGTTCCAAATTGCAAAATGCAGTACATTTGCTCCAAGTAAAACGTTGAGCACCGCCGAGCTTCGATTTTCTCCATAGTAATTCATGAAACTAGAACTAATAAAACACGTTTAAAACAGGTGTTAAGCCACGTAAGGTTGCGTCATAATTTTAAACTCGTCCTCCAGTTTTCCATCTCCCAATTTTCAAATTTTTAAAATTCAGTTTCAGCTTATTTTTAAATTCGTTTTTTGCCAGTTTAAATTCAAAAAGCCATCGTTTTAGTTCATTTACTCATCTTATCTCTTTTCTGAACTCTTAATTATGATTACTTGATCGACAATAAGACAGCAGAGCCTAACCGTCCAATAGGGACTTTCCAGCTCATAACATGACCCATGATGTCGCAGAGGCTATAAAAGCCTCAGCTTTCCAAGAATCGAGGTCTTCTACCACTTTTTGACCCACGGGCTTTACGTCACAAGCTCTCATGTCGTCCCTCTCTTTAGGTTACCCCCTCCTAGGGGTAGACTCCCCGTGAAACGCTGAAGGTTTCTTGGTGTATTTTTTATAATTTTATCCGGTTTTCTGTAAACTTTGTGTTTTGTATCTGGTGAACGATTTGGGCATCTCTAAATATTGATAAAACGTGGTCAATAACTTGAACTCCAGAAATACTTTTCTCCGAGTCCAGCTCTCTCACAAACTCTTTTATTTTATTTTCCCGTTAGTTAACTCATGAAACTGCAATTTGATCCCCGGAGAGGTAAAATAGGCGCGTAAAGTCGCGGTGAACTTTCAACGTCGCGGTGCAGATGACGAATTCAATCATAATCCTTGATGGGAAACCGGATTCACTGGAAACTCCTTCCTTCCATCGGGTATGCAATTTGATCTCCGGAGAGTTGAAATAGTTGCTCGAGGTCGGAGCTATATTCGCTAACGGAGCAACCATAGGGCGTGGCGCTTCTAATTAAATTACCCGGCTGGGTGGAGGCCGCGCAGGATTCCCTCAATACTGCGACTTTCACACTAACGAATGCGCAATTTGACGTTAAATAAGAAGAAATTGAAATCGAATTCAATTTTACCTGTTTTTATTTTTCTAAATTAATGAATATATCGAGTTCGACCATTTTCAAACAAGTTCCTGTGTAAAGTATTCGATAAAAAGGTGCTGTATAGTCAGAATCGGAGGCTTTGTAATAGAAATTCTACACTTTATCATTTTTCAAGAGAGCTGTGAAATCCTAGGTATATGGTTCCTTTTAACTTTAATGAAGGAAAGCTTACGCAGCCACGACTAAGGTTAGCCTCTTAATTTAAGTTTAACAACATATTGTTTGTCGAGTTAGTTTGGAATACAGAAACGTTGGAAAAGATTGTACTTATTTTGAAAAATGATTGCAAAGTTGTATTTTGTGAGTTTATTTAAAATAGATGCGAAAAATGAGGCGTCTATAACCTAATCCGGCAATCTCCTTTGTCCTGTCTAAAAATTATGCGATCATTAAAATTTTAATATTGAAAGAACGCGAGAAAACCTCCATGTTTATGTTTTCTTTTCTTTCTTTGTTTTGTAAATTCTCTGTTATCAAGCGAGAAAACTTGGAAAAATGTTAAAGACAGCTAGAAGTTTTGGTTGCCCCTCGCTCAAAATTAATATGATTGCACAATTTCTAGACTGGCAATAGAGATTGCCAGTTTTGGTTCTAGACGCCTCGAATATTTCATGCGATTAAATACGATTTATAGAATAAAAATTCTCACTCAAAAACGCCATCATTTGAATTATAATACGCCGTGTCTGCGGCCGTGTACAATGGGTCTAGTACTGGAATATTTTTACTGGCGTCTCCTTTCTTCATGAGTCTTTTGAAGGCTTCCAGAGCTTTTTTGATTAGTCGCTCGAACATCCAATCCTTTAATCCAACTTCTTTCATTAATTCTGAAATTATAAAATTGGAAAGTAATACATTCACTAAGGCAAGATAATCGATTTACTCTTTCAAAAATAGGAGTGAAAAAATATATAGATCCTATGAGGTTCTCCTTAAAATTATGAAACTTTACACTTATGATGTCACGCTTATACAAGCCTGCGGGCTGATTATTAAAATTAATAGACAAAGCTATGGACGAAGAAGACATAGGGAGTACGGAGCAATCCTATTGGTTGAAATGGGAGTCCTTATGGACTGAGGGTGCAAATCATGGACTAACAATAGGGTTTCTCGTGGATTTTCGTTAGTTAGTCTATTATCTACCTCCTTTGTCCGTTGCAACCCCCCGCTCCCACCAATAGGATCCCTCCATATTCATTTTGTCTTCTTTGTCTATAGCTTTGTCTATCAATTTCAATAATCGGCTCGCTGGTATTTTCCTTCTCTTTAAATATTCGGAATTTTTGCGCGGCATACTTAGGAAAATCACAATCTGCCCTGGCCCCACGGGCAAAACCCGATTTTTAAATTATGTCAGGATTTGCCCAAAACGCGTCAGGTAAATCGTGCTTTACTACGGAGTTTGGCTGAGCACTTAGGTTTTTTTGCAATTTTAGGTTTGGGGGGAGGGGGGGACCCCTCTCACTTAATTTGGATCCCGCATTCGAATCATACAACAATGCGACTAGAATAATAATTGACTGTCGTATTAAGTAAGTCCCTGGTCGCTCGTATGTCTGACTTTAGCTCATCGTTTAATATTTCAAACTGCAAGTGTTCCTATGGTTTTATTTAGAAAAATAAATAAAGAATACTATTTTATACCTTGCCACTTATTTGTCAAGCTCTGACACACGAGTGATATAGACATTTTCTGGTTGTTGTATACATGTTTTGGATAATTGCAAGTCTTATTTTTGAAATCATCGCGTCGTGACAAAATGTCTTTGGTATATTATAATTAAATACATGTGTGTACGCTTGTCTGACAGGGTCCGAAAGTGTGAGTGAATGTATGGTCATATTTATAGGTTTGAGTATTTATGAGATACTATATATCACTATCGATATTACCACTCAAGATATGACCGGATTTGCGTCGAATCACAGTCATTGTTTTATTTCCTGATTGAATTCAATAGAAAACTCATAATCCTACTTCCAAAATATTGATCAAGTGGCCGCAACATGATGGCATGACGAAGTACACTTACAAACGCACTTTCATATCAGAAATATATCGTCTCAAGCACAGTTTAGGTACAATTTTTTTATCAGTGGTTTATTCTATTATCATAAATAAATTTTAGTGTATTTGGAAATTCTTCAAGGAGAGGTAGAAAACGAGAATGACCCAAGGACGATATTTACCTGGGTGGATTACAGCTTCGTTCCTTAGATCAGCTGAACGCGCCTCGCATGAAATGAGCATTGAGGTCCCACAAACAAGAAAGACAGTGATGAAAATTTTTAACTCCATTTTTCTGACGGTTGTCCTGCAAAGTAACATTTAAAAAAATGAGGAGAAAAAACTATTTAAAGTTTACAGTTGTTCTAAAGTATATTCTTATTCTCTTTTATCACCCTCAACTCCCTCATTTTCCGTCTGAAAGTGACATAAAACAACATGAAATATGTAATTTCCACCCATCTACGCAGAATCTCCGAATGTAAACTCGAACCATGGTATAAGTCCTGAGGATACATACACTACCTGGGAACACAAACGCACACATTTCAGTGCACGCAGTGAAATGTAAGGGTTTATTCAAGGCATATTTTAATGTGGGGTAATGAAACAGACCCTCTTTGTCTTCTTCATTCTCTTTTCTCCTTCCCTCTTTCTTCTCTTTCTATATCTTTACTTCTTCTTCTTATGTCTCTTTTCTTCCTTTTCTTCTTCTTCTTCGTTCTCATTTCCACCTTCCTCGTTTTCGTCTTCTTTCTCTCGCCTTATTCTTCTTCTTCTATCTCTTCTTTCTTCTTTTTCTTCTCATTTCTCCTCTCTTCTTTTCCCTCTTCTTCGTCCTCTTTTTTCCATATTCTTTTTCTTTCCCTCCTTTTTCGCGTTGTGCTTCCTCTTTCCTTTTGTTCTTCCTTTTCCTTTTTTTGCTCTTCTTCATTCTCCTCCTTCCTCCTCCTCTCCTCTTATTCTTCTTGTTTCTCTTTTCTTCCTCTCTATTCTTCATATTCTTCTTGTTTCTCTTTTCTTCCTCTATTTTCTTCATATTATTCTTGTTTCTCTTTTCTTCCTCTCTTTTCTTCATATTTTTCTTGTTTCTCTTTTCTCCTTTTTATTCCGTATTTTCTCCTTTCTTTTTCACCTCTATCATTTTACTTCTATTTTCCCCTCCTTACTCCTTTTTGCGTATCCTTTTCTTTCATTCTCCTACATATCCTTTCCCTTTATTTCTCATCCTTATCCTTCTTCTGCTCCTTCTCCTCTCTCTTTTCATCTTCTTCTTGCCGGACGAGAAGCTTAAAAAAACAGTTTACTGGAAAACAGCGTGAGGGGGGCACTTGCGTTACTGACCGATTATTGGTAAATGGTAAATACGCTTACACCCAAATTCGAACTCAACCTTCATAGGACATAAAAGTATTAATTTTAAATTTTAAAATTAAAAAACCAAATTTAAATGTAAAAATTTAAATGAGTTGTCACGATTCAAAAATAAGCTATCGTGTCTACCATAAATTCGCCAATATCTGACTGTTTCAAAGAGGGATAATGCCACTATTCAACCACGTGGGAGTTTGGGTTGCCTACACTAAAATTTGAAGGCAAACTGACATGCCGTTGAAGTGACCTCTCTCAGTTTGGTAAAATGATATTTTTTGAGCGTGTTCCGAGGGAGCATGGAATTTCACGATGATATCACTCTAGCGCTGCCTAATGGCGGCTTTTCACACTATAACCCAATTTCAGAATATTAAGAATAAATGTGATTTCCCTCACAAAATGCCTGAAACCACTGAGTCAGTCCTCAATTCTCAGTAAACTTCGCGCCTCGTGGTGACGAGCGGTTATCAAGCCGTAGGTATAGTTTTTCATCAATAAATATTTTCCATCGTTTCATTTAAAAACATAAATGAATGAATGCAGTAATAGTAGCATATAGTTATTTAATAAAGGAATTGATGATAAAAGGCAAAATGGGAGGAAGATTACCCTATACACAAATTCAAACGGCTACCTTGCTAACTGAAAATAGTTGCTGTATTTTAAGCGAACGGACTCTGAAAATTTTCATGGAGAAATTTCTTATAGCATCATTTTTAAATCCAATCAAGGGCAGTAAAAATTCAGCAACTAACATATTAATATTACAAATAATTGACGGACTAACCTCGTATCACACACTTACCTTTGTTTCCTTAGAACAGCTAGAATGAAGATCAACTTTTGAAAATAATACTTGGTGAAATCTTTGAATGAACCAATTTAGCGCACTGATTTTGTATTACTTAGTGGGATCGGCAGACTGCCACCGAATTGAGCGGATTAAATTCATAAGAAAAGATAAAATCTCAAGTATCGTTTCTTTTCGACTGACTCAATAGTAGCGCCCCACTCTGAGCAGTCAGAGCCGGTAATTCTGTGTAGATCAGAGGAAATGAGGATACCCATTATCTTAACCGTAATAAGTAACAACGCACAAGATAACGATTTTCAAGGGTCAAAAAATAATTGAGACTGACAGCCTCATATTTACCGTCTTATTTGTACACCTAATGCGAATTTCAAGGAACTGCGCTGTGATTTTATCTCCTGTCCCTCAAATAGTGCAAAACTGAGAGTCTAAAACCGTGCTAGCTTTTAAAAAGTACTAATATTTACAGTGCTTTAGTTGAAATTACCCTTCAAAGTTGGATTTTTTTCTTTTTTGGAGAAATCTAGGCTTTTTCAAACCTACATGATGCCTACCATCACATAATGCTCTGTGTCTCCTACGGTCATTTTAAAGATAGCCTTAATTCCGGAATTCCCTCTCTAAAATTTAGAGGACGAAAGGAGGAAAATTGCTGGAGCTTAAACATCATTCAATACGACAGCTTTATATGTCCCATTATAAATTTTCGATATTTTGGTCTCGGGATTGTTAATCCTCTTTTCACCCTATTATCTACCACTTGTATGTACGGCCGGCCGGCCCATTCCTTTTTTTTTCTTCGAATTTTTTTTCAATTTTATGACGATTTTTCGTTTTTTATCTCTTTAAAGGAAACAAATTCATTACAGTTCTCATAAGGACCTCTTTGACATCTGAACAAGGACATATACTAAGGGTCAAGTAATGATCAGTGTCCCCTCAGCGATGAGTCGGAAGGTCTCGAAAAAATTATTGATCAGAGATGGGCATATTTCAGAGAAGTTGGGCCGATTTGATATCATACTTCTTTGAAGCGATGGATCAAATAAAAGTGTTCAGCTGCTGGTCATCATACTTTATAGGTATTTATTTATTTTTTTTAATTTATTTTATTTTTTTTTTTTTTGGTGATGAACGTTGGGGTGTTTGGTATATTGCATGGGCATTAAAGAGAAAGTTGGGCCGTTTTGATATCATTTCCTTTTAAATGATGAATCCAAACGGTACTGCCATCATTTTTTTTGGGTGCCTGTTTTTTTTTTTTTTTTTTTTTTTTTTTTTTTTTGGTAATTAGTGACATGTAATATCTTTCTTCGTCCATGGTGTGGTGTGAGTCCCGACTCCCGAGTGCCGACAGGGACGAGTTCTATGAATATAAAAAGTATAGAACGTCTCCGTTTGGCGTATTTTAAGACGCCGCGCGTATTATATGACGTCCTGCGTTCCATTGCGCGTCTTACGTCTAATTGCGTGTTATATCGAGATAAAAGGCTGAGAAACTCGTATGTCTTGTAATTTTTTTTTTTTTTTTTTTTTTTTTTTTTTTAAATTTTCGACTTCACAAATTACTCACTGATCGTGTGAAGTAATAAGTGAACTCTCAACGCTAGATGAAGTGAAATAATGAAAGGCAGGTCGTGCGCCATGCGCGCGGCGGCTCATGAAACTCTCCCCTGTGCTCTGTCGCTCGACGGATGTAGGGTGCGTCATTTTGAATTTCCCGCGCAAATTTTAAACGAAATGAGCGGCAGCCAATGAACGTGAGGTTTGGTGTTGTGTTTTGTTTGTGAGATTTTGAGGTTAGGGAGAGCAGAACCGGCTTGACTTGATTTTTTCCCCAGTATTTTATCACACTATTGTATTTCTTATTATACAGTTTATCCAAAAGACCTATCGCTATTATTTGAGTATATCGTTATTGATATATCGTTCATCTTAGTGCAAAAATGAGCCATTCCAATCAGAGTTATACTAATGTGGGCACGCTCTACATGAGCCATGTAAGTCTTTACTCTTTACAGATCATCAATACTCATATTTTAAACATACCTTTTATGATAATTTAATTCTATTCTCACATTAGTTTGATTAGCATCTCTAACGTATTTAGAACGTACACATTCCCACCAAGGTTCAGCAGCAGTGAGTGCCATTGGCAGAAGACACTGATTTTGTCTCCGGTGCTTTAAAAATTCAGTCTAGATTTCACTCGCATTCATGTGTGCACATCTTCTGCCAAATTCTATCTGTCTCTTGCAGTTATTTATTGGATAAACTTTGGGCAGACGCCTTGCCAAAAGACCTAATAGATATTTGTAATCATGATAAGTAGAGTGGACGCATCATATGTTGAGGCAATTGTCAATCTCTGATTACCGCTGAATCAGCACCACTCCACAGGTTAATACATGCAGTCAGATGGCACTACTGATGAGTGGTTACCTGAACAATACTTGACTTGTGTCTCAACATACGATGTGTCCGCTCTATTGTCCGATCCTATCATCAACTGACACTTTCCACTCCAGCCTAGGGTCTATTACTTAGACGCCACAAGAAAATGTAACTTAGAAATGTTTCCTCTGGAAGAAGCTAGAGAAAAGAAAATGTGCAATTTTCAATTTTACTGCTCTTGTTTACTAGCAAAGACATGATGTTACAATACTGATTTCATTCGGGAAAGGTTTTAGGGGTAAAAAATATGATTCATTTCTAATGAGACTAAATGTTGGCTGGGTGAAGCTATGCTCACCATTGGTCGAAGGTAGAAGTGTCGTCGGGTAAGTTAACATTTGTTTACTTTCGATTTGCAGGCGCTGACGACAAAATTACGCCCCTGCACGAAGTGTTGTTTGCTACTATCCACCTTGAAAACATCTGTCTCATGAATGTATTGTTAAAAATCTGTTATGATCCGCAACCTTCATGTGGTTGTGATCTCTGTGTGGCTAAAATTTAAGGAGTTACAATGTTTAAAAGTATTTAAAAACTTATCCAAACTTTAGTTTGATACTTCGCTTTTGCGAGAGTCTTATGTTTTCATCTGGATAGTGGTTACTCAAAAACGCCTGCAAACTAAAAGTAAACCAACGTCAGCTTATCTGATAATACCTCTATTGTGGCGAAAGCAGAACCACTTCAAAATCTAAGAACAGGGGAATTGATTAAGCGGCTCTAACTTATATTGTTGGGGTCTTTAAATAAATGAGTAAACATTATTTAAATAGCGCAATGATTTATTAACTTCTTAAAGATCACGAGCTAAGACATTCTCACAGAAAGGATATCAAAAATACAACCCAAAAAATTTAGACCAAGAGAAGGAGGGAAAAGGTAGGCGACCAATCACAGGGTTGTATTGCTAGCATGACAGGGCTGCAGCAAAAGAAAACTAAAATTTTGACATAAGAGCAACTTGCTGGATAAAGACTAATGTTTGGCATCATAATCAACATATATTTTATCAAAAAACTTGCTATTTTTGTTTTTTAATTGAGTTGTTTGTTTTTTTTTTGTTTTTGTTTTTTTTTTTTTAAAAAAATATCCAACTGAAACTACTCATAATTTTAAGTCCAAGGATAAGTATTTCACAAGACATTTTTACAAAATTTTCATGTTTATTTCTCGCAGCTGGACCCATACATGGATGACCAGTTTCTTTTCCGAGCGTTCTCCTATTTCAGTGAAGTACCCAAATATATCAAGGTGGTGAACAAATATGGAGATGGTAGTGGATACTGTTTCATCAATTTCCCAACAGAGAAGTCTGCTCTAGCTTGCATGCACAAATGCAATGGAAAAATTATTCCTAGTTCCAGTCCGGTAAGAAACTGATGTCTCTTTGATTTGTAAATGTCTGCACAAATCAAATCCTTATTAATATTCATGTATAGTCTTCACCAAATAAGTTTACGCACTTTTAGACTGCAACAGAAAATCCGCCATCTTGATTCTTGCTTTTACTTTTCATGCTAAAATGATGTCGGAGGATCTTCCGTGGCAGTCCAGAAGTGCATAAACTTATTTTGCGGGGACTCTCATCAGGAGAGATAATTCTTCTATTCATTAAAGTTTGAAGAAAGATACTAGTAGAGCACTTATAGCTGTTCAAAAATGAAGTGTAGAAAAAATAGAAATACCATATGAACAATGAATACCTGTAACTACCCAAAAAATTTTCATTTTCACCTTGAAGTTTCATTGCAATTTTTTACAGATTGGTTTGAATGGAAGCAAAAAAAATCTGCAAAAAACAAAAGTTTATTATCTTCTTTGCTGCAAATCTTAATCAGTCAAAAAAAAAATTTCAATGACACCTTTCTAAACAGCCTGTACTTACTTCCTAGTAGGACTTATTCCCAATATGACTTTAGTGACTTAAGTATAGTATGGCCATAAATAAAAAATTAATATTCATTGTGGATTTCTTTTCATGTATATTTTCCTCCCAGCCAGCAAGGTTTCGACTCTCATACTCAAATGCACGGCCCTCCCCCTCTGAGAAGGATCTCTCTGTTTGGGTTGGTGACTTGTCTACAGATGTTGATGATTACCAACTGTTCAAAGCCTTCTCTGCTAAGTACCATTCACTTCGCCTGGCAAAAGGTAATTTAATATTTTTTTTTTGTTTTCTCTCCCTTCATAGGTAAGTGATAGAGCATTGTTCAGGAAATATTTTTGCTCTGAATGTGATAAAATTGGAAGGATAGTTAAAAAAGAATCCAGGTTTGGAAGAAAATAGTATTAAGGTTCGCTGAATAAAAAATGTATCCTCCTTTTCTCCCTATGGGGGACTTCTCCCTCATCATTTAATCATTTTGTATACAGGCAGTGTGTGGTAGTTTTCTTTATTTTGTATTCTTTTTACCTAAAACGAAAGTCATTTTGTGGAAGGAGGGTTGAAAAATTCAACCTTTGTAGAATTATAAGAGATAAATAGAGAGGTCTCTCCTGTTGAAAGAGTTATGCGATGAAGCAGAAGTTATGAACTCCTATTCCTGTGAAAATGGTTCAGAATGTTGAATAATTTCAATGAATAGTTACCTATGGTTAGATGTTTTTCTCTCTTATTACAACAATTTGCACTCTTTGTATGTCACCATAATCATATTATGCTAGTTTTTTTTCCCCCTCATTTTTTGCTTGCTTTTTCTTGGAAGTAAGTATGCAAGTGTTTCTTGCTCTTGGAGTTTTCTTCATCTGTGTCTATTCCTTCTCTTTATTTTTGTTCCTTTTTGTTCTCCAGTTGTTGTCGATAATAGTGGTCACAGCAAAGGATATGGTTTTCTAAAATTTGGAAGTGAAGAAGAAATGAAACACTGTCTCCAAAACATGAATGGCTACACTGGCCTCGGCTCTAAAGCTGTCAAAGTGAGTTCGGCTGTGCCCAAAGGTAGTCGAGGATCAAGGTATAGTAATTAAGTGTGCACTTCATCTAAACTTAGCGTTGAATACTGGCTCTCCTCAAATTTGTCTTTAATCACATTAATTGGTTAAGAAATGATTTAGCTTGATGGTTATCAGATACCAGAATTTGATTAAGTGTCTTTAGTTTTTTTTTGCCCAAGACAAGCCATGGTGAGGCAAAATCTTTTACCATCCCTGTTGAAAATAAGGTACATTTAGTATACATAAGTAGGCCCCCTTCACTCCATGTCAAGACATGTAAATTACTTCTTATTCATTCATCACCATCAAAAAACGCCCAATTTTTCATTGGCTTAATTTATTTTTGGAAACGTTACCAGATTCTAGCTGGAGAGACTTATTTAAAATCTGTTTTCAAAAAGCCAATTTCATCTTCTTTAACAGTTTGAGAGGTATTGATGACCAAAGTGCAAAACTGTGCATTTCTATTGAGATGTTTCAAACCCCCTCCCCCTTTATTCTGAAGAGGAATAAGCATCTTTTATAGATTGAAATTAATACAGAACATCCTGCCACCGAAGACGAAAAATCAAGAAAGTTTTCAAGAAAATGCGTTGACTAGTTTTCCACAGCAAAGATAAAGTACAGCAGGAAGTCTACAATGTGGCAAACTTATACATGGTTTCGCTTTTTGGGCATCAATATTTGGTATTTGAAGAGTAGCAGTGGTTTTTTAAGTTCACTCCACCAACCAAGGTGGACGAGAAGACTGCCTCATAGGTTATCATGAATCATGTTTAAAAACTAAGAGCTAGCTTGTAATAATTTTAAATCCGAATTTGATTGGAAAAATAAAAATCCTATCTTTTTTTAGTCACAATTACCGAAGAATACTGAACAGTCTTGATATTAATAGGTCGCAGAAAAATTTTGCATCTCAAATGAAGAGTCGAGGCAAATCACAGTGTTCAGAGCTGTTCTAACAGATCCTGAAGAGAAAATAAATTTCAGGATTAGTCCTGACACTTTGCAGGCTAGCCTGGTAAATTGCAATTTGCACATGCAATCACATAAGACAATTGGTAAAAGAGGCTTACCATGTCTAGTTTCATTAGATATTAAGAACGCTTTAAATAGTATTAGTTGGATAGATTTTATTACTACTCTCTATAAGAGAAATGTCCCCCCTATCTGATCAAAATTCTGAAATCCTATCTTACAAACAGATTTTTAGTTTTCCCCGACTTTAAGATAAAATTAAACTCGGGCAGAGCACAGGGCAGTATTTTGGGACCTCTTATATTTTTAAGTATCTTTGATGATATCGTAAGACCTAGATTGAATAATAGAACTGATAAAAACGTATAGGCAGATGATACTCTTTTGGCATGTGAGACAGAGGATAAGACAGCTCTCCTAAAAGAGACAGAAATTACCTCAAAAAGACTGAAAAAAAAACTTAAATAAGAAAAAATTAAGTATGGAAGAAAGCAAAACTGAAGCAGTAATAATAGCTGGCAAAAAAGACGATTTGAAAGCTAGGATTAAAATAGATGAAACTGTAATCGAAACTGTAGAGATCCTAAAATATTTAGGCTTTTATATTATTAATCATCATATTAAGATTTATTTGAACCACTGTGGCCAAACTGCAATTTGTCTGGGTTACAAGATTTGTTCACAGCGCATAAACACTGATTGTGAAACTACAGAAATATACATATATCTCTCTTTGCGGTGTTGTAGGCTTCCTGTCAAACTTTACTTTTGACGTGGAAAACTACAAAGAACGTCTTTTCTTGATTACTTAGGTGATTTTTCTTCGATAGGTAAAGAGTATTCTTTGAAAATTTCAAGTCATGAATGATGTTGGTTTACTCTCCTTTCAGAAAATAAAATAGGACCAAAGATTTTGAAACACTGTAATCAAGATACACGTTTTTGCAGTTTCACTGTCGATTTATTGCCTCTGCTTTTGTCATGTGTGACAATATTTGCATTATTTATTCTTCCAGCACTCCCACTCCAGGGTCAAATTCTTCACACTCAAGGCATGAAATTACTCCACCAGATTATTGGAAGAATTATTTAGGATGGAGCAAAAAGTATTTCGATCCTATGTCCACTGCTTTGCACACAATCAGGATGAGTTCTGCTGTATTTGATAATCGTTCAAAGGGCTCACGGTACGATGATCTGGAACCAATCGGTAAGAATAAATTAATATAAATCCCATTGGAATATTTTTTTTTTTTTCAGTGACAATAATGATTTGAGGACAGTATAAAATATACATCGTATGTTCACTTAATTTAGCTTAAGAATGGATTCAAACGAATCTGAGAGCAACTCTCTGTTTCGTAGTGGAATCATTTATGGTAGAGAATGACACAACTTAACTTGTGTGACAGACAAGTTTTCGATCAATCCTTGATAGCCTCAGTAGTATAATTACTTTAATTGCACCTATTTTGTTGGAGTGACAACATCCAACAGTCAAATTTTTCAGTTTGATTTCAGTTCAGTATTCAGCCCAAGAGTTGTACGCACCTGAGGTAAAAAATAGTTTTTCTCTGTTAAAAAAGAAAAAAAAAACTACATTATTATTTATGCTGCATACTTTAAAAAATATATATATTATTTCGTTTAAAATACTATAATCTTGAAATGTTTTCGAAGACGTAGGACTGATTTAAGTAGAATTAGCCTAGATAGAACATTGCCTAATTTTCTCTGATTTTTTAATTTTCAATCAGAAAGCGAAGCAACACTGGAACCTGAAATTTTGTGAGTTAATGATTCATAATCTGGGTTAAATTCGCATTAAGTTTAAACGTGCTAAGTTGTTAAGTGCTCAGTTGAAAAAATAAAATATGAGATGAAATCAGGCAGTGTGAAATGCAGTCTGGTTGATTCCAGTTAAATATATATATATGAAGTCGCTTTACAACGCACTCTGGCGTTCTACGACACCCAAGCGCCACATATGCCTGTCTTCCCACATGTTCTCGGGCAACTGACATCGCAACATCTCTTCGTCAACACCCTGCCGCCAACCCTTTACGGTACGTCCTCGTCGCCTCTTCCCAGGTGGTACCCAATCCAAAACTTGTTTGGGCAACCTCTCCTCCGACATTCTTTGCACATGTCCATACCAGCATAACTGCCTGGACATGACGTCGTGCTTGATATCTTTCTCAACCTTCATCACCTGGCGAATTCTCTCATTACGGTCCCGGTTCCAGTTAAATAAATCCAAATATAATGCAAGTTTCAAATTATGGCTGACAAAATCAATTTTTCAATTTCCAGCAAAATTTAAGGAATTATTGTAAATGGCAAGCCCAATTTTTTAGAGCCATTCAGAACAAACACACGTCATGAACTTTTGCCAGGCACAAGGATGCAACAGGAAAGGTGTTGATAACGGTAGATACCATTTTAGGCCAACTCTTCGCGTCATCAGGCATTGAAGTCTGATTTTTAGACAAATTTTGTGCAGCTAATTTTTTAACATTGAAGAATATTACTGATTTAAGATGATAGGTGGGTTGCACACAATAACATAACACTGGGTTGAGACTAAGGCATTTTATTAGAAAATGCAAATATTCAACAGTCGCAAATACATATCATGATCACAACCAAGCAAGAGCAAGTATGGCGAATGCCTCGTTGATGGATGATGACCATCGGTGAGAGGCAATGGGTAGTGACGTCATGATGACATGACATCACTATCCAACAATTACTGCAAATTTTGTTTTCCTTTTTTTCTTCCTCATTGGATCACTTCAACAACTAATGTATCAATGTTCTTTGATTGCAGATCACACTCTAACTTTTGATACAAATCTATCCAACCTTGAATTGATCGAGCGTGACTACTGTTTTTGGGATGCACTGGAAGCATCAAAGTGGCTTCCAATGGAGAAAACAGAAGGCTAATTGTCGTAATAATTGCTGGTTTTTGAATTGTCAATAAGTTTCTTGTAATCTATCATGAAACTTACTTGCATCGTATAGTCTTTTTCGAAAGTCCGATGTAAAGTTTTCTTGTGGGTAAGCTTTGCTAAGTCGAGAAAATGTTTACCATAAATAAGGCCTTTTGAATCAACTCAGGTATTTGCATTTTACAGACCACTGTAATGAAAATTCTCTTCCTGAGTCGGTAGTGTTAACATCAAATAAGTTAACGCACTTCAAGAGTGCGACTGAAGGTCCGCCATCTTGATTCTTGCATTTACTTTTAACACTAAACTGAAGATAGCTGATCTTCTGCTGCTCTCTTAAAGTGTGAAAAATTATTTGGCATGGATTTTAGATATTCTGAGCCTAAGTATCCTGAAAAGAGAAATGAATCCCTCTTTTTAGAATTCAAAACCTAATATTTTAAGATAATAGTGTCATGAAGCAAAAGTAAATCATACTTTTACAGTCGCAAGAATCTAGTAAGACTGGAAATAATGATGTAAGGCGTAGATAAAGAACTAAACTTCCGCAAATCATGAAGTTTCAAAGATACTCCAGATTTTGCGATCAAAATTCTGATTTTCCTTTCCCCTAAAAATTGAAGGATCCTCATCATGTCAGGATATTGGTGACTCAACTTGTAACAGCCTCCTGGCTGATCAGAAAATAATGCAATTGGAAACTATGAATTTGAATTTCCATTTAAATGACCATAGAATGAAGAGTAGATACTCATGTAAAATAAGGACAGAAATTTTATCTATAACATCTTGGTTTTGTGCTTAACTTCCTCTTTACGAAAGTGTAAAAATAAACTGATCAAGGCATAGTTCTACATCACTTAATAGTTTCACCCTCCTGACAAAGGAGAACCTTTAATTCTTTGTGAGAGAATTTTAGAGCTTAACTACCAAATTTTCTGGTTGGAATGACTTTTTTGGTTTTAAAATAATATTTTATATGTAACTCAAAATCTTCACCACCTGTTGAACTGTAACCAGAGGTGATAGAAGCAGGGTTTATTTAATCCTATGGAAATGGACAAATGAATAAAAAAGTTTTTTCCTAATGATTTTGTTCTTATTAGCATTCCATGTTGGAGTTATTGATTCTGTAATCTTTTAACTCATTCCCTTTAACGGAAAATGATGATGAGCTTTGTGACCTTCAAGAGGGCTATTCAAGGGATGTTCATAAATTATGCTGGAGTCAAACAACTTTGCTATGTGTATCGTTCCTCTGTTTTATTTTTGATGCAGCCAAGAGATGTAGTATGTAGATTTACTTACATCCTTGTATTGTGACAAAATAACTGCACAGTCTTAGCGATGTTGACTTGGATACATATTGTTGGGTCATGAAGGTCATCATACCTACATGGTTTCAAAGTTACCATTTGTCATTCTTCCAATTTTTTTCACTGTGCATTTAACATTCTTTCTTCTTATCAGTGATGATTCGTTTCTATCTCTTGACAATTTTACTCTCTGTTGGATAAGGAAACAAAAATTTATTAAATACAATTTTTAAAATCTAATTGGACGGATTCAGCTGGAATCAAGCTCACCACATTTCATGTTGCGTATTTTTTTTTCATGTTATATTTTTTTAACAGAGAACTAACCTAATTAAGGCCGTCCAACTTCCTGCGAATTTACCTTCAATTATGAGATAAACTCACAAATTTCAAATTCCAGGCTCGGCAAGTTTTGTTAAAAAGAAATGTACCAGAAAATTAGGCTATGTCTGTTTGGCTCAACTCCGGCAAAACTGTCAAATTTTTTTATTGAAGTTCGTGAGCCATACCTCGTAGCTTTTGCGTTTGCATATTTTTCTGGGCACAAGATTAGCAAAATAAATATATTTTAAAAATCCAGATTCAAAATTCTTAATATGTACACATAGTGCTCATGTATTTTTTTTTTTTTTTTTTTTTTTTAAATTTCTTCTTATTGGTGTCTAATTCCATCATTGATTGAAAATTAGGATCTTAGTAATGAGAAAAACAAAAATGAACACCAAGATTTTTGAATACCTCAGCAGTTTGCAATTTTTACCCACCATCTCTTCTTGATTAAGAATAATACATTTTTGCTTTTATTTCCATGGAGACAGATCCATCATCCTCCTGACAAGGTTACCCTCATATTCTTCCAAATTTTACTCAGTATTTTCGTGGAAAACTTTTCGATCTGAATTGTCCTAAATTCTTGTCCTCAGATTTTTAAAAAATAATGATTAATGTCCTTGGCGCAATTATGTCGGTTTTTTTGTTGTCCCCCTTGTCCAACCAAAATTGTTAATCGTTATGCATTTCAACCACCCATTCCCACCTACACTCTCAAACAGGTACAAGAAAATGGCTTCGAAAAATACAAACTTGTTTTCCTCACTGATAATCTCATAGCCCCATCTCACTATTTGAAAGAAGCAGAATATGGCTTCATCAACACTAGCCGTGGCAACAATATTGCATACCTCCTGTGGAGACACAAAAGGAACCCTCGGCTCACTATCTTGTTTTCCCATGTCAATGGAGCTGATATCGGTCAGTGTGCAACTTTCTACCTAGATCTATGCCAAAAACTAAACTGCAATGCAGTGGTTTATGACTATTCTGGGTATGGAGCCAGCTCGGGAACTCCGAAAGAGAAGAATTTGTACGCCGACATTGAGGCCGTTTATCGAACTCTCACCAATGAATACGGTATTTGCCCGAGAGACCTCATTCTGTATGGTCAGAGTATTGGATCCGTCCCAACAATCCATTTAGCTGCAAAACAACTGGTGGCTGGAGTTATCATTCATTCTGGATTTTTATCAGCCATTCGAGTTTTGTATCCTGAATGTAACCAAACAGGTTGCTGCGATGCTTTCCCAAAGTAAGTGATGCTATAAGTTGATCTTCTACTACCTACTATAGATCTGACTTTATTATTTTGTAACTCCACCTAGAAAAATGGGCAGGCTCCGAGCTAGACCCTTCTCTCATAACCCTGTAACTATCTGACCTTAAGCTGTTGAAAGTTTAAAAAATAAACCATCATTTCTTAATGAGAAAGCAGTAGGGTCCCCTCCATCCCTACCACCTATGCAAATTATGATTTTGAGGAATCCATTTGAATTTCCCGCGCTCATGTCAACGTTGCCGTCATTCTCGTTTTAATTTTATATCTGTTGATCACTGTCGGTGCAGGGCAGGGGATGAGATTGTTTAGCAAAGAATTGTCCTTCACTAGCAAAAGTTTGCGAATGAAGATGAAAATTTCTCATTTCCACTTAAAGTTTACCTTGAAAGTGTCAAATGTTGAAATCTCCAATTATTGAGCACGTACGTTTTGGCAACAAGAAAGGGCAGTCCGTTTTGATTAGCTGCTGAAGTGCTTCGTCACGAGGAATTTTGGATGATTACGTGTTGGCAAAGTTTGTTTTTCTTACTGAGGAAAAGCATCTCATTTTGCCTATTATTCGCTATGTAGTCACAGATTTCAATTTTCCGGCCTTTTATTTTTATCCATCTTCAAAGTATTTTACCCTCTACTTAAAGTTAAATTATTATGCTCCTTCTCTTTAACTCCGAACAGTGTCTTTTTATCATTCCGGATTCCGTGAATTGTCAAAAATTAGATTTGATTCAATGTTGTTTTTGAAGATGTCTGCCAGTTGCGGTAGGGCCCTATGAGGCCAGATCCTTTTTTTTTTTCAATTCGATTTAGTTTCAAGCATTTACCTCTTCAATGAAATGTAAAAGTGCTCTCCACTGCCTGGCGCTCATGTTCTCGTAGTTTTGGCCGAGCTCCACCTTTTACTAGTCTTTCTCAGCTGAAGCCTGTTTTGTTTTGAAGCTTAGTTACAACTGTGCTACAACTTGATCCTCATCATGACAATGAGCAGATCAACCCTTAGTGATCTTTGTTGTCTATTTTGCTGGCCTCCGTGTCCATCGAAGATTGCAGCCAAAATAGCATTCCTGCCTCCTGAACCAACATATTCCTTCCAGTCGGATGAATCTGGAGCGAAGTTCCAAATAGTGTTTTCCGAGAAAGCAGAATGGCAGTACACAGAAAGGGACAAAGATAAAATCGAGTGTTTCTATGCTAGAACTCAACGGGGCAATAAAGTAGCATGTTTATTCGTTCGGTGTAGCTCAAGTGCTCGTTTTACACTACTTTATTCCCATGGTAATGCAACAGATCTAGGTCAAATGGTTAGTTTTTATCTCGGACTTGGCACGAGACTTAATTGTAATATATTTAGCTATGATTATTCTGGTTACGGTTGTAGTACGGGTAAACCGTCAGAGAAAAACCTATATTCAGATATAGATGCGGCTTGGCAAGCTCTGCGAACACGGTACGGAATTAGTCCTGAAAACATAATTCTTTATGGTCAGAGTATTGGAACCGTACCAACTGTTGATCTTGCAACCCGGTATGAAGTTGGAGCAGTTATTCTTCATTCACCACTCATGTCTGGATTGAGACTGATCTTCCCCAAAACCTCTAGGACATGGTTTTTTGATGTCTTCCCTAGGTGATTATACATTAATTAATTTAATACATCCTATGATCATTCTCCAGGGCTCTTCAAAAATCTTCCTCTTTGTTGTGCAACTAGAAATTTTTCATGAGTCCATCTGCATTTGCTTCCTTCTTAATGCCTTCTAGCCCTAGCATCATAATACTGAAATTCAGTGTACCTATCTGTAGTTGATGAGCATCACAAAGTTTCACTGCATTTGTCCAAGTTTTACACATACGGAATCTTGCCAGAATCATGTCTAGGTATATTCAAATCTCAAGGTATGAAAATGTATTAGCAGATAATTGGCTATAGAACTTGGCACAACATCCTTAACTTCGTGCATCTCAGTGAATATGAAGTTGCTCCTAAGCATATCATTCAAAATTCAGAGTGGTTTCTGTTAAACTAAACACGAATAACCGTCAAGAAGTGATTATTGAAATTGATCAAGATTTTCGTGGAGAATAAATGATCCAATTAGAAAAATACTGATTTAAGAGTTTTTTAATGTTCTCTTTGCATGTTTATTTATTTATCTACCTTCGAATGTCATACTTAATCCTCTCCTTTCCATTTGATCATGGCCGCTCCTTTTAACTGGCAACCTTTTACCTGAACTTCTAGCTCTCGGCCCAAAAAATCATTTACTTTGTCGAAAAAATTGTTCCTCTGAAACCTTATATTACTTAAAGCCAGAAAATATTTCCAGCTCTAACTATAGCCAATAGCTTTCTACTGTAGTAGATGGAAGTTTGTCTTAGATCCAATTAGATATTTGATTTTAGTCGATATTAGCTCGATATTTAGTCGATATTCCTAGTGTGTACAACTCCTTATAATAACAGTTTAATTTATCTATATAGTTAAGTGTCTAAGAAAGAAGAAATGAGCAATTTTTTAGGCGTTTAATATAATTTGCTTGTACTTTTCATTGTTTCAGTATTGACAAAATACCAAAAGTCAACTCACCTGTACTAGTTATTCACGGAATGGATGATGATGTCATCGAATTCTCACATGGAATTGCTATTTATGAACGGTGTCCTAGAGCTGTGGAGCCCCTTTGGATAGAGGTAATTTTAAATTTGATGACTAATTTTTGTATCCTTGCATCTAGTTAGATGCAGGTTTTATTGGAATGTGTAGAGCTCAAAATAATCCCCTGTTTGCCCTATTTTACTCCTGTTGGAGATGCTACATTTCGCGAGGAGTGCAGATGCAGAGTCTTCCAAGCTCTCATATTTTGACGCATCAGTTTGCCAACTTTCCAAATTTTTTCCATCGGCTTTCCAAAAAATTTCCCTCTAATTTTAGAAGAGAGGATCTTTTAAATATTGTTTTCTAAGATTTTCGACTTTTGACCGTGAAGAATTGTCTCTCCTCCCTTCTTTAAGAGCTTTTCCATACTTTCATGCGCCCGGACAGGCGCATGATTGAGCATTTTCTGCAGCCCTGCATTGCACAGAGTCCTAGTTGGTATGATAAAACGTCTCTATCTAGGTATGAAGACTTGAAATTTCTGTTCAGCTCAGTATTTATTTAATAAAGATCAAGAAAATAGCCTACAACACAAAAGAAGGGAGCTGAGGGGTGAAATAGGTGGACACTTCAATCTATTGTATAAAGGTTGATCGGCCTCAGCAAGTCTTGGTCCTACTCCTTAGAATGTGCCTATACACCTTTGTTTTAACCTATAAGCAATGCTCGGAGCAAGTCACTAACTTCGCCCTCCAGCGGTCACTTTCGTGTTGTAGACTACCATTCTTCAGATTATGCCTCAAGCCCTCTAACATTGAAGTAAGTTTTTTCTTAATTATCAACCAAATATATTTATGTCATAACAAGGAAAAACACCAGAAATGTGGCCCCAACTATACGTTACAAGATGGAAAATAACGCTGGGTACAAACTGTTTTGCAGGAAAAGTATGGCCAAAAAATTTCAATTAGTGTCAAAAATTTGAGCTCTAATGAATATCAGTTTAGGACTGAAGGGGAGAATGTTCAGCTCAGGTAGTTGCATTGTAACAGTAAGCTGGAGTCATACTGCGAGATATATGTAAGGTTTTGGACCTTTCCAGACCCTATCAGAACATCACCCTTGTTAGTGTCAGTTTACGGTAAAATCAATAATCTCCCTTTTTCCTCTCAATGATTTTATCTCATGATCTATTCTTTATTCTAGAAATGTCTTTCTAGTGCACTCTCTGGTTGACATGGTTTGGTATTTTTGACACCCCCCCCCCTTTGTAACGCTCTTGTGGCGTAGGTACCTATCCTGGGGGTCCCTGTACTGGGTAGGGTTTTGGGTCCTACTTGGAAAAACTAAATAGCGTAAAAATCTCTTCGACCCACCCTCCCCCCTTCCCCCCAGAGCGTTACGTAAATTATGGACAGCTCCCGTGTAATAGACCTGAGCCAGCTTTTCAATAGAAATAGACAAAATTTGGCATGTCATATTGATTCGGTCATTAAAAAAAGGTTTTGTGAGGTTTGAAAAATTTGTGCTAGTGGCTCATACTTACTTTTGATGAGGAATCACCTTAAGCCTTAAAAACAATTCCCTAGTAATAGTACTTCAGAGAATTTCTGATTTTTTTAGTGTCCAAAACGTGCATTTAAGTCTTAGAAAAAGATCACAAAAATTTGGAACTGGTTCATTTTAAAAATGCATCTCAACAAAATATTCCTCCTTTTTATCATTGGTGGATTGTCATTCATCTTAAAACTTATGAAAAGTTGTGTTATATTATTTTTTCATCACACTATTTATTTCATCTCACTATTTTTTGTCTTTTTGTTTCAGGGTGCAGGCCACAATGATGTCGAATTATTCGCTCCTTATTTAGATAGACTAAAACAATTTGTGTCCTCTGAGTTGGAAAACTGACACATGCTTTGGCGTTTTAAATCTTGTGATGAAAATACTCCTATTTCTACTATAAGTACGGTCACTAATAACTCTGCCACAGAAAAACTCCTGTAATAAAAATGTGAAAGAATGAACCGTTCATATTTTGTTAATAATCTGTCCTTTTTATCTATTTTATCTCTCTATTATGTTTTGTATATAAATTGAGGAGATTCGCACACAAAGCCATTGGCAAGCAGGCAATTTTGAAGATTCACATTATCAAGCCAAGCATCTGTATCTCTTTATGTATGTGTTCAAAAATTCATTATTTTGTTAGTACTTCTGAAAGGCGAATTTAACGTTAAAAGTTAGAATTCTGTTGACTACACTAAAATTCTATCCCTAATTTTGTCATTATTTGTGATTCTTGAATTACTTAATGAAATATCAACTGATAGCAGTTTTAATTTCCTCCCTCACTTAACGTGTACACATTTAAAAATAAAGTTCTCTGCCATTTATGTCGGGAACAATCATCAAAAGAGAAAAAAAAACCGTACCTAATTTGAAAAAGGATTTAGTAAGGTCTCAGACTTATTTATATGGTGATTTAGTCAGTAGTTTCAAATGAATCCGCTAAAAGCAGGTTTTTACTCTACCGTTTTACCAGTGTTTATTCTTAGGCTACAGAATGAAAACAATAAATTATAATTTGGGAATTATGGAAACGGACATCTTGTAGATTAGTTCATTTGATCAGTACATTTTTGCCTAAAATTTAAAATCCTGCGGAAGAAGGATGTTGCCAAAAGTTCCAAAGAGCTGAAAATGTATTGCTTTTTGCGCTTTTCCTTCAGTTATGAATAGTTACCCCATAGCTAATACTCTAATAGAAATAAGAAGCTATTCTCTTGCTTTTTGCCATCTCCACGCTTTCTTTCAATTGCATGTGGCTTACTTGGGTACTATAGAAAAATCACTGAAGATCAAGTGATCAGATTATATTGAGATGTTCACTTTTATTCATTGCCATTTCAAGTGGGATCCATTTATTTTCTTCTTGGTTTATTCAATTATTTTTAATTTTTATGTGTTTTTAAACAAAATCTTAAACATTAGGGAAATGGGAAAAGAAAAAAGAAGTACGTGCAATATCCATGTTGGTTCAAGACAAGACGGTCTTATCTTAACCATGCAATATTAACTGATGGAGCATAATAGCTAAGGAGGATATTTCCTTGAATTGGTGTTACCTAATCTGTAAAAGGACATCCATACTGAATGTATGAAGGAAGGAGGTGAAGGATTCGGATTGTTAATGATAACTTTCAAACCATTTGTATGATCCTTTCAAATACTCTTGCTCTGATATGGTTGAATAGTCATATTTGACAAATGTTTGTTGTGCAATAAATATGAATTGACCAAAAATGTGTAATTTTTGGTGAGCGAAGAACTTTCCAAGTTGATTACAAAGCAGATATTGCTTTGTTGTGTGGATTTCCTCAATTAATGAATCATTTTAATTATAAGATTTTCATGGTACTTTTCTTTTTTTCTCTCTTTAGTATCAGGTTGTAAGAAACTATATTTATTTATGTAGTCAAGAAAAAAATGGAATAAGAACCCTGTATCATTATCATTACCACAAAAATTATCATAGTTTATTTTTTAATTGGTCTAAGTTTGTAAAGTGCAAAAAAGTATAGTAATATTATATGAAATTCTTTTTAATGCAACCAGAAGGTTGATTGCATGATGCTGTTGAACGAGATCAGTACATCAAGTCGCTAAAGTCTGAATAGCTGTAGTCAGGCATCTGAGAGCTAGTGTGTTCACAATTAAATGCTTGAAATATTCTGATCCTTTATTTTAAGCCTTTTTTACTTCCTCATTTTCTTGCAGTGAAGGAAAAAAAATTACCTTTTGCATTTAAAAGTTAACGCTAGTTTAATGCTTTTTGAAATGAAAGAACAAAAAATTGCCCAGCTTTTTCACTAGAAAAAGTTGCTGCATGGAAAACTTTCGAACGAATTCTTAACGCACGAATCATTCAGGCGTTTTAGCGTTGTGTTTTAGGATTTTAAGATCATAAACGATTTATTTTTTTATCCTCATGCTCTTTTATGTTTCTTTTAGAGTGAAGCCATCAGTTTCACCCTGGGTTTTTAATGTTTGATCATATTTTAATTTTCTTTTCCTCAACTCTTCTTTTATTTTAAACATTGTTTTTTTAAATAAGGGGCCAATTTCATGAATTCAACTTAAAGCTGTATTGGGAAACATTGTTTCTGTTTGAACGATCCTCAGGGATACTGATGCCAATAGTGAAATGAAAATATTAACTGTACTTATCATTTAAATTCAAATGTTCGCCTTCTATTCGTGGAATCTTAATTGAAAGAAGGTCGTTGTGCATCTTTTTGTAATGTATGAAAATTTGAAACTCCTAGAAAATTCTCCCAAGCCTCAGATCTGTAAGATTTCAGCCTTTAAAATGTGTCTCACATTAGTCTAATGATTAAATCCCCAATTATACTGTCATTTGTGACACATTACATAGAAAAGGGCCCTTTAGTTTACATGGCATAGTTTTCAGGTGAATATTATAACAACAAGAAATACAAAAAGTTCTGCCGCTATAATTGCATGCCAAATGCTACCCAACATATTGATGGCCAAATGTGAAAAATGCGTATCGCAATTACAACTTTGAATAATCTCCGATTCTATTTTATTTTTTTTTTTAAAAATAATCTAATCAAAATGTTTCCTCTCAATATTGTTTGATATTTTTAAAATGAGTTTTAAAAAATGTGCTTAAAATTAGTATAGACTGTTAGTTAGTTTTCCTGAAAAAAAAAACAAAAAACAAAATGAAACAAAAGGAGAGAAAAGACTCGTTTCAATCGAAGTTACGCATTTTTTTACTACAGCCATCGATATAATAGATCAAGGAAATGTGTTGATTTAGACATGAATCAGTCCTTCTATGCTTGAAAATTGTTAGAATAACTAATTTTTATAAAAGCTTCAATTTTAATTCTATTAAAATCACCCTTTTTTTGGTCTAAAAATGCAGATTATCTAACGCATGTTTAGATCTTTGTAATTAGTTTTAAACTGCTGAGTATTTCATCTTCCAAACAAAGCTATCAACATCTCACTTTCCTTCAGGGTTAACTCAAGGGCTCTTTTCCCACTAGGTGTCTCATTAATTGTTTGAAAATCCATATTAATTGTCAAATAAGAATTATTTCCAATTTTTTACAGTTCGTAAGCTTCATTTACAGATTATTATTCTCTATTTTCCGGCCCAACAAAAGCAAATTCTAACTTGTTCTTTTTCTTAGATCTCATTTTTCTTGGTTTGTCGCACCACAATGTTACCTCTCTTTAAAATGAAACAGCTGACCTTCTATTCCCCTTCAAACATTAGTAGTATCATAAACCAAATTGTTGAATTATATTGATCTCTATTGGATTCTTATCGCTCCAGTATAGTCTTAGCTGGAATGCTCTACAATTTACCCATGAAAGAGATGATCATCAGCCTTTATCTTTACTATAAGTGCTGTATTGGTGAGTAATTATAATTGGTCCAAAGTCACCTCTATTATGACTGAAAATCTGAGATCAAAGTGAACGATGCCTTTTGTTGTGATTGATTTTAAAAATCATATCATACCCTCTTTTTCATTTTTCTTGTAAGCATAATAATTCAATTTTTCAATTTTGAATAAACCTTCTGTCTCGAAGCAAGTGTCATTTTTAATTTGTTCTCCTTTGATTTAATTTTTTTATTCGTTTATCTGCATTTGTTATGACTTCGGATTTACCAAAAAATCTCGCAATGGTGTGAAGCTTTCCCCCCCCCCCCCCCCCCCTTTTTTTTCTTAAGATCTTCCTAAGTGGCTATACGCGAAATGCATAACATTGAAAATTCGATTTTTTATCACTTCAACGTCGTAATCAACGAATTTTAAACAGTGGATAGAGTGATCCATTGAACGCAGTCTGTCCATTTACTGAATATATATATTTTTTAATATATATATATTTTATAAGAATAAGCCGATGAGCAGCCCGACATAATACAACAATGACAAAATAAAAACAATTGAGATGAAAGTTGTGAAAAGTTCACATAACACCATCTGGAATTTTCATGGCGGTTCTGCGTTCAAAAGAAAGAGTACCCAAACGAAAATCGAGAAGTGCGTCCGGTGAAGCGCATCTGTATGTAAAAACTCTTAGCAGCTGAAACCGAAAATGACCTTAGATTATCTTATGATCAGCCAAATTTTTCGAAAATATCAGTAAGTGAGAAGAATCAGCAGCATAAAGTTTCAAGGAGTTAACATTGGTAACAGTGATTACAATCATCTGAGGAACGGAATTGTCAAGTTCTTAAAAAATCTCCAGAGAGCCAAATGAACGTTAGTTGGTATAAAGTTGCATTCTGTTTGACAAGGCAAGTAAACTACCCTTGGACTAATCTGCCGTGCTAAGGAAAAACGCCGTATGAACATTCAAGAGTTGCCATATTTCCTTCGATAAAATGCTAATTTCTGAGGAAATTTCTGAACATTTTCCCCTGAAAATTTCAGGACTTTTCGATGGAATGGCGAGCAAAATTATCTGAAAAATTGGAGGGAAAATACTCATGAGTTTACCAGGAAATTCGTGTTTTTTCAAAGGAAATTTGGCAACGCCTAAAGGTTCATACGGCGTTTTTCCTTAGCACGGCAGTAATGCATAGTGTACCTGAAGGCTCATCTCAAGTTTATTTTTTTCCCAAAGACCCCCGAGTGAAGAGCAATTCGTCCGTTCTTTTTCAATGTCCACTCCAAGCAAATATTTCGAACACTGTCGACGAATTTTCAAATCCGCACACTTCAGCGCTCAAATTATTTCGAGATTAATGTTGACGCTGAGCGCTCCCACATTTTTAAGTAAAGGGAAATCAAGTTTTCAACTGAGATTTTCCAAAGTTTTTCTCGTTAGATGTAAGTACATTCAGTTTGCACATCATCTTGCAAAGTTTCAGTGCCGGCGTGAGGGTGGAATGATAGGGGCAACGGAACCAGCCCCCCCCCCCCCCCCCNGTAATATCAAAGACGCCATAATGAATTAAACCGGGGAGGGAAATAAGAATAAAAGGAAATGAGATAAAAAGGGACGATGGAGAAAAAGAGGGGGAAAGAAGAAAATGGAGACAAATTTGAATAGGCATTTATTTAAAAAATATATATATGAGGGAAATAGTCATCTCCTAATATAGGAAATAAACAATTGAAGCTCAACTTTTAACTCTAAGATGCCGTAGACGTACCTGGTAGGCCAAGTCCCAAGTTGAGTGTTTACTCGTGTTAAAATACATTGATAGTGATAGTTTTTGAGGTTGATATATCTTTGTCATTTCCAATTATATGTTTTCGAAGTTAAGAAATGGTTTTTTTTCGGAATTTTCACGTTTTTGGTAACATACTGGCGCTTCCCCCCCCCCCCTCTTCAATCGCCACATGTAACTGCCTTAGAAGGGTGGTTGGGTCCATTTAACCTGGCTTGGGATTTCTAGAGGTAGTCGTCAAAAAAAATAAATAAATAAAAAGCGACACAAATCTCGCCAAAATACCAATATTCAGACGTGCGCTCCTTAGGGTGCTCGAAAGACGTCTAGACATTTTTATTTTTTTTTCAAAATTATTACCAATTTGGACACCATACAAATTATTTTACCGAAGCAAACTTACCCTCAAATTTTCCGAAATTCTTAAAAATAAGAGACCCCACTCAACGCACATTGATGACAGCTCAAAGATAATAGTGTTCGTGTTCGATGGAGCACCACTATAGGTGAGATGAACGAAACCATCGCAGTGTGGAAATAGAGCAAGGGAAAGGATGCGCGTTGACGAAGGCGCAGAGATACAACTATTCGTGTTTGATGGATGTCCGTGCTGCATCTACAATATTGAAGGTGCGCGGCGGCGTGAGACGTGAACTCGCAATGATCCGCTCAATGCTGCCAATTAGGTATCGCCCAGATTCGAAAAATAAAGTTGAGAAACGAGGCCCGACCACGTCTCTCCAGGGTTGCCACAGTCAGGGAAAACCGGGAGATATCAGGGAATTTTATAAAGTCAGGGAAAATGACGAAAATGTCAGGAAAAATTTGTTAAATCACCTTCATTTGCTTTCTAGAATGGGTTTGAGATTTTGAACGAGGAATTTTGCCTGAAAACTATTTTCAATTATGCCCTCTTAACCACCCGTCACATCTTCAATTGTCAGGGAATTTCACCAAAATGTGTCAGGGAATTTCATTTTTTAAATTCTGTGGCAACCCTGGTCTTTCCTATCTTCGGCTGTGTCGCTCTCGTAGCTCTCCTTGAATCACCTCTATAAATAAGATGAACGGAACCGACACAACATGGAAACACAGCAAGAGAATGGGCGCGCGTTGATGACGGCGCAGAGATACAACTATTCGTGCTTGATGGATGTCCGTGTTGCATCTACACAATTGAAGGCGCGAGGGCGCCCAGCGTGAACTCGCAACGTTACGCGCTCTAATGCTGATAGTGAAGTGTTACTTGGATACGGGAGAAAAGTTTAGAAACCATGCTGCATTACGCCTCTTTAATCTTCGGCTGTGTTGACACTCAATTTCCTTTTTTTCTCTTTTTTTCTTCAATTCAATGTCTGATTCCTTTTTTAAGACGTATTCGTGAATCTGTACTGAAAGCTCGTTTTTAGCTCCATTTCATACGCATATAGTCAAATATGATGTAGGAGTAAGAAAATTATGCAAGCAACCAGCTTAAGAACAGTTCCGAGGATCATTTTCATTATATTCATTTGCTTAACGCATAATTTGCAGGGTTGCAACTTTTCATGAAAAATAAAATCTTGAAATTTCACTTGCAATATACATGAAATTTCAGAAATGTTATTGAAAAATACCAGTTCCTTTTCATGGTTCGTAAAAAGTAAAAATTGTGACCTTGCATACTCTAGCCCCTCAAAAATATAATTTATTTCAAAGCCTCGTGAAAATTCATGAAATATTTCACGGAAATTTCCAATCTTTCATATTTTTTATTTCACGCTTGCAACCCTAACATTTTTGTCATTACAACGATCTCCTCGTCCGAATACATTTTTTGATGAGTTAATATAATTAAATTATCACATACCAACGGTGATTCTACTAGACCACGTATCTCGGTGTGCGACGTTGTAGACTTCCTGACATACTTCATTTTTTTTAATGGAAAACTACTTAACACCAATTTTTGAAAACTTCCATGATTTTTCTTCTCCTCTGAAGAAAACTCTGTGAAAACTTAAGGGAACGATACTAATTTGGACCGCATTAAACAGAAAGGAACCAAGCAACATCAGCCATTGCCCAATTTAATTTTTACACGAAAACGTTGGTATGGCCGGATTTACCTATTTGCCGCCCATGGGCCGCCTGTATTTTGCCGCCCTCTTCTCATTCATTTTGAAACATCAATAAAAACCATCGAGTGAACGTGCCGGAGGGAGAAGGGTGCATAAGACGTGTTCTCTCGTGTTGGACACATTTTTTGCGTAAGCCCTGTCAACACTACTAGTAAAAGTTCACGGAACTTGGCGCGAAAGTTCAGTTTCGTAAACCTATCTCTGTGTGGACAAGGCCTTTCATTTGTAAGAAATGAACTAAAAAATTAAGAAAGAACAATCATAAATGTGGTTTAATAATTTTAACTTCCGCCGCCGTGCCGCGCTGACCACACTATATTTGGCGCAATGCGTGAGGTATTCATGTAGTCTTGTAGGCACTGTGCGTTTCACGCCGCGCCGACCGCTGTTGACCGTACTGTGTTTGACACAATGCGTGAAGTATTCATGCAGTCTCGAAGGCGCTAATATGTGTTACATGCCGACCGCCGCGTCGAGGGCTTCTCCTTTTCATCTCAAGTCCTCGTCATCATTTCTCTTTGCGCCGCGCCGCGCCAGGCCAAATTATGTGTTTGGTTTTTCTCGTAACTCAACTAATCAAAGGTGTGCAGTCTTTTGTATCACCGAAATACGACAAAATTAGAAATTAATGAACTCTCAGGAAATGAGAGATTTTGTCATGTTTTCTTGTTCGTAATTTTTTTCTGAATCCGATTTTTTTGTACCTACATTTAAAAAATTGCAAAATTTGCCGCCCCCTAGATTTGCCGCCATGGGCCGCGGCCCATGTGGCCACGCCCTTAATCCGGCCCTGAACGTTGGTGCGGATTTTCATGCAAATTTCAGTGAATTTTCTCCATAGTACGAAGCAAATTGCTTAACATTTTCAAAGGAATCCGCACGAACGTTCTCTCGCAAAATATTAAATTGCCCTGTTTTTGGCAGTAGCTGACGTGACTTGGTTCTTTCCTGTTGAACGCGGTCCATTTTTTCTCCTTCGAAATAATAAAATACAAATGGAGATTTGTATACGTCGCAAACGAGATATGGAGTCTGGTAGTTTCACTTTTGATATACTCTTCACGACAATGACAATTTTCCCACTGTTTGATGTTGAATGCGTGGAATGAAATTGAAAAACTAATTAGAGCGCTTGCCGCTCTCATATTTGCAGTTATTGTGAGAAATTGAAGTGGCTAAAAATTGAAGCGCTATGAAGTGGCACATTTGAAGCAGTCACATCATCCATTGAATTCCTCAACATCGGTAACTATTCAGTGAATATGACAACCAGGGTCTCGGCAACACTT